TCTGCGTCCCTCTTGGGTTGACCCCTTGAGGAACAGAGTGTGCTTGGAGGCTGCAGGTGGGACATTGTTGTATGATAGCCGCAGCCTCTGTAGCTGTTAAAGAAAATTGTTTCATTAAAGCCTTCTTATTTTGATGAAAATATGAATGGCTGTCCCATGGAGTTATGGGAGATAAAACAAGGACGGAAACGTCCTGGTGAGTGGAGGCAGCCGAAGCGGCAGCATCCGCCTTGGCATTGCCTTCGGAGATAATACCAGGGAAAGGTTGGTGACTTCTAATATGAGCAGGAAAAAAAACAAGTAGAGCGGGAATGAAGAAGGGATTGGAGTGTGAGAAATAGACTGAGGAGAGAGTCATCCAAGTGAGGGTGACACATATGAATCAGATAAAGAGGTGAGAACTTTATATACATAAAGACTATCTAAAATAAGATTAAAAGGTTCAGAAGAAAAAGTTTGTAAGGCCAATATTGTAGCAGCAAGTTCAGCACGCTGAGCAGAAGTTTGAGGAGGAGTAATTTTTGTGTGCCATTGTTCACCCTCCTTCCATACACATGAACCATAAGTCTTGCTACCATCAACATACAGGGTGACAGCATTAGGAATGGGAGAGGAGGAAATGGGAGAATACAGAGAAATTGAAACATTATTAAGGAGTTGGAAGCGAGGGTCAGAGGGAATATGACAGGAAACAGATCCTGCCCAGTCAGCAAGAGAAAGTTGCAATACATCTGAAGAGTATAATTGAAGCAAGTGCCTTGGGGTTGATTCCCCTTTTGGATTGCAGCTGCAAGAGTGTCCATTTGAAAAGCATTGGTTCCCACAATGCGACAGGCTTTAAGAAAGTCTGCCAGAGTGGCCGTGGGGCTGGAAACAATTGGTTTAAGAATGGACTGGCAGTCTGCATTTGCATGTTCATAAGCCAATTTTATGAGGATTTCATTTGCTGCATCTCTGTTTGAAATTTGACGTTCAATGGCAACTTGCAAGCGATTCACAAAGTCTGCATAGGGTTCAGTTGCAGTTTGGCGAATGGCAGAAAAAGATTGAATTGGGGTGCCAGACTCATCAACACGAGCCATGGCAGAAAGAACACAAGCATTAATGATACGAAATGCAAAGGGAGTAAAAGCTTGAGCTTGAGCATTAAGGGTAGCAAAATTACCTTCCCCAAAGAGTTGTTCTGCTGTGTATTGTGAACCTGGGTGATTAGCTCTCTGTTGTGCCTCTCTTTTATATTCAGATTCAAAGACTACGTATTGTGTTCCGTTAAGAAGCATGTGGAACAAATCTTTCCAATCTTGAGGTAACATTCGATATGCACTAGCAATTGAATGTATTAGTCCTCTAGTATAGGGACTGGTTATGCCATAATCTTTTGTAGCCTTTTTCAATTCTCTGATCATAGCCAGGGGAAGTGCCTCCCAACCCACTATTAACCCTTTAGCAGTCTGTTGGTAATTAACAGGGAACAACTCTGTCTCGAATAGTTCAGAAACGCTTAAATCACCATTGTTTAAAGCCTTTTGAAAAGCACCACGGATGATTCCAGGAGAGAGAGAGAAAGAGAGAGAGAGGAGAGAGGAGGCAACGTGGCAGGAACAGGAGAGGTTATTTGCTGTTTATCAGAATCCATAAAATTTGCAGGGACAGAAGGGTTAAAACCAGCTCCAGGGGGTAAGGGAGTGGCCAACATAACAGACGGATTTTTATACGGTGGAGGATCTAATAAAGGCTGATGAGGCAATTCAGCATAGGTTTGAATCAAAGTATAGGCAATTTTCCAAAGGCATAAAATCTCTGGGGGGGTTCTCGGAGACTGGTGGAGAATAGTACCAATTTTCCTCCATGTATCTATTTTTAAAGATCCAGACTCCGGATAAAATGAGCAGTTAGCCCATACGTAAGCAAGCAATTTAACAGCCTCAGATTTAGAAAGGTGACGGGTTAATTTCTGTTCCTGATCAGTAAGATATTTTTTCCTGCCAAGTAGCCTCAGCTCTTCCACATGCTGCTTTTGAGCGTGAGACATTCCACCCCCCATACTTACGAAGAGGAGTCAGTTGCCAGCAACTTCGTCGGGTGCACCAAGCCTATTCCAGGCGATAAGTAAAGGGTTGGCAGGGACGTATCCTTCAGTGGATCACGTCGGGGTCACCAGATGTGGTGGTCTCCCATGGAAAATGAGACACGCACGCAGGTGGTATCTCGGGATGACAGCCCAGAGCTGACTCTAGCACCCTCTTTTATTGTTACTAAGGTTTTTACATCACACAGCATAATCAAAAGACGTATATAGGGGTGGTTAATAATGTATCAAATAACAGACACTCTCCAGATACAAGGCTACTGCAGGTGTTCTTATCAGAGTCTGTCCAAAAGGCTGATGAATGTATCCTGTGTCTGAAACAGTTATCTCAGGCCCTTGTGGGAGATGCCCATGGATAGATGCCCATGGACATTTGTGCAATTAGTCCCACAATGTGCTCTGCATATAAGTTAAATAGGCAGGGTGACAGTATACAGCCTTGCCGGACTCCTTTCCCAATTTTGAACCAATCAGTGGTTCCGTGTCCAGTTCTCACTGTTGCTTCTTGATCCGCATATAAGTTTCTCAAGAGACAAATAAAATGGTCTGGTACTCCCATCTCTTTAAGAACTTGCCACAATTTGTTGTGATCCACACGATCAAAGGCTTTAGCAATGAAGCAGAAGTAGATGTTTTTCTGGAACTTCCTAACTTTCTCCATGATCCAGCATATGTTGGCAATTTGATCTCTAGTTCCTCTGCCTCTTCGAAATTCTGCCTGTACTTCTGGTAGTTCTCGATCCACATACTGCTGGAGTCTAGGTTGTAGGATTTTAAGCATAACTTTACTAACATATGAAATGAGTGCAATGGTGCGATAGTTTGAACATTCTTTGGCATTGCCTGCCTTTGGAATTGGATTGTAAACTGACCTTTTCCAATCCTGTGGCCACTGTTGAGTATTCCAAATTTGCTGGCAAATTGAGTGTAGCACTTTTACTGCATTGTCTTTTAAGATTTTGAATAACTCAGCTGGAATACTGTCACCTCCACTAGCTTTGTTGTTGCTCAGATTTCCTAAGGCCCATTTCACTTCACATTCTAGGATGTCTGGCTCGAGGTCAGTGACCACCCCATCGTGGTTATCTGGGACGTTAAGCTCATTCTTGTATAGTTCTTCTGTGTAGTTTTGCCACCTCTTCTTAATCTCTTCTGCCTCTGTTAGGTCCCTGCCATTATGGTCCTCTATCATGCCCATCTTTGCATGAAACGTTCCCTTCATATCTCCAATTTTCTTGAAGAGATCTCTGGCCCTCCCTATTCTGTTGTTTTCTTCTATTTCTTTGCACTGTTCATTTAAGAAGGTATTCTTATCTCTTCTAGCTATTCTCTGGAATTCTGCATTCAATTAGGTGTATCTTTCTCTTTCTCCTTTGCCTTTCGCTTCCCTTCTTTCCTCAGCTATTTGCAAAGCTTCCTCAGACAGCCATTTTGCTTTCTTGCTTTTCTTTTTTTTTGGGGGGGGGATGGTTTTAGTTGCTACCTCTTGTACAATGTTGCGAACCTCTGTCCATAATTCTTCAGGCACTCTGTCTATCAGATCTAATTCCTTAAATCTATTTGTCACCTCTACTGTATATTCCTCAGGAATATGATTTAGTTCATACCTGAGTGGCCTAGTGCTTTTCCCTACTTTTTTCAATTTAAGCCTAAATTTTGCAACGAGAAGCTCATGATCTGAGCCACAGTCAGCTCCTGGTCTTGTTTTTATTGACTGTATAGAGCTTCTCCATCTTTGGCTGCAGAGCACATAGTCAATATGATTTCTATGTTGACCGTCTGGTGATGTCCATGTATAGAGCCGTCTCTTGGGTTGTTGGAAAAGAGTGTTTGTTATGACCATCGTATTCTCTTGACAAAATTCTACCAGCCTGTGCCCTGCTTCATTTTGTACTGCATGGCCAAACTTGCCTGTTATTCCAGTTATCTTTTGGCTTCCTACCTTAGCATTCCAATCCCCCATGATGATAAAGACATCATTTTTTGGTGTTAATTCTGTAAGGTGCTGTAGGGCTTCATAGAACTGGTCAATTTCACCCTCTTCAGCACCAGTGGTTGGGGCATAGATTTGGACTACTGTGATATTGAATGGTGTGCCTTGGATTCGAACTGAGATCATTCTGTCATTTTGGGGATTGTATCTCATTATTGCTTTTCCTATTCTTTTATTGACTATGAAGGCTACTCCATTTCTTCTAAGGGATTCTTGCCTGCATTAGTATACCTGATAGTCATCTGAGTTAAATTCACCCATTCCTGTCCATTTTAGTTTGCTGATTCCTAAGATGTCGATGTTCAGTCTTGTCATCTCTTGTTTGACTACATCTAGCTTGCCTTGATTCATGGATCTTACATTCCAGGTTCCTATGGAGAAAAGATCTTTACAGCATCGGACTTTCCTTTCACCACCAGATATATCCACAGCTGAGCGTCCTTTCGGCTTTGGCCCAGTCGCTTCATTCTTTCTGGCGCTACTAGTACTAGCCCTCTGCTCTTCCCCAGTAGCATATTGGACACCTTCCGACCTGAGGGGCTCATCTTCCAGCGTCATATCTTTTTTCCTTTTAGTACTGTCCATGGGGTTTTCATGGCAAAGATACTGGAGTGGTTTACCATTTCCTTCTCCAGTTTGTCAGAACTCTCTGCTATGACCTGTCTGTCTTGGGTGGCCCTGCATGGCATAGCTCATAGCTTCACTGAGTTACACAGGCCCCTTCGCCACGACAGGCAGTAATCCATAAAGGGGGTTGTTACCTTGTACTGTGCTAAAGTGAGTCAGAAGTCAGTACCTTTTCCTTTTTTCTTTTCTTCTTTACACTGTCCCCCATTTTCCCTCCTCCCTCTTCTTTTAGTTTTCTACACTTTTTTTCCTTGCATTTTATACTTTGATAAAATTAACAAAATAAAAAACTACATTATAAATCGTTTAATGAAAATTTGGGGAAAGTACAAGAACAGATTTAATCCTGGATTGTCACAATTGGCTGCAACATTTTAAAGTTGTAGAGTTAATCAGTGGATGCTTCATAATTTGTATGGATTTCAAGATTTGGGGGAGGGGGTCAATAAAACCAGAATGAAATCTTACGAGAAGATGGCTCAAGAATGGACTGAGACCTTTCACTTCAGGCACCACCGGCATGGCAGCACTTAAGGAAATGCAGAAATCTCCTTCAGGGGTTGTTGTTGTTACTATTATTGTTATTGTTGTTACTGCATTAGCCAATAGACTCTTAACAGAATCTTAATGGAATAATCTTAATACAATTCAAAGAATGTTTTAATACAACAGTCTAATATTTATTAGAATTTAATTTTAAATTATTGATAGAATTTGATTCTGAAGGTGAACAAATTATAGTTTGTGTGATTAGACAAATGCATAATCTGGATACAAGCCCTGATATGCAATATCAATAGTACACTAATATTAACTACTTCAAACAGCATGCTTAAAATTTTGGTGCAAATATTCTTTCATTGATATATTACTTCAGTTATGATTGTTAAAATGGCTCCCAATTTTTCAAAATGTATTGGAAACATGATAAAGAATTTTTCAGCTGAAAGTGCCAAGCTGAAAAAAAGTCAAAAGTTTTCAAAAGGAAGATATCTTAAGGTAAAATACATTTATCTTGCCTTTTATTTGCTCTCCAGCTATTATATTGCCAAATTCCATAACATTTACTGAGTTAACTTTATTTATGTTGTCAATATGTGAAATATTGAAAAATTGCAAACCCCCCCCAATGTTTCCCCAAAGACTGGCTGCTGACCCCGTGGGAGCCCCAATAGGGGGGTCTGATAACCACCTCTTGACGGTGACCTTTAGGAAAGCCCAGATTGTCTCATCATTCATTTCTTTTACTAGGTTGCTGCTTGTTGCACACTCTCAGTTGCAGGCAGTTCTCGACTTACAACGGTTCATTTTGTGACCGTTCAAAGTTACAACGGCACTGAAAAAAGTGACTTATGACTGTTTTTCACACTTAACGACCATTGCAGCATGGTCAAAATTCACATGATCAGAATTCAGATCCTTTGCAAATGGTTTATATTCATTTGTATTTAATTTTATTTATATGCCGCCCAATCCCAAAGGACTCAGGGCGGCGTACAGAGTTAAAACAATCATAAAACAATAAAATAATACAGTCATACCGCGAGTCCGATTCATGACGGTCGCCATGTCCCGGGGGTGTGTGGGGGTGTCACATGATCCCCTTCTGCAACCTTCTGACAAGCAAAGTCGATGGGGGAAGCCAAATTCACTTAACAACCGTGTTACTAACTTAACAAATGCAATGATTCACCGTGGGAAGAAAAGTCATAAAAAGGGGCAAAATTCACTTAACAAATATTTCACTCAGCAACATAAATTTGGGGCTCAGTTGTGGTGATAACTTGAGGACTACCTGAATTTGGTTCTATTTCTGATTTGCAGTATGGAATCTATGTTGAAAAGCAAATAGGATTCTGTAAATTGAAGGGTGGTTGTGAAAGAAAACAAGCTTTAAAAATGACATTGGCTGCTGTTGGCCTCGGAATATTTTTTAGTAGCTGATGGCACAACTCTAGAACCTGTGAAATAATCAGGTGGAAGACGGTGCTTCTGAACCGGTGCACCCAAGTCATTGCAAATCATCTCCTGCAGTTGCAGGATTTCCAGGCAGAGGCCAATCCTGGAAGACGCTGTTGCTCCAGCAACAGAGTCCTCCTTGCTTTCATCAAGGCAAAACCTGATAGTTTGGACTGACTGCTTTTTTGGTGGTTGGTGGTGATGGTGATGATGGTGATGTGAGCAACCCTGATCGACCCTGTCAGGCGTGGGTGGCTTTGTCTGCCTCCTCTATGCTCAGAGCTTCCACGCCCTGGAAGCCATCATGATGTTCTTCAGGCACCTAAGTGAGGCCAAAAGGGGAGGGGCTGAGAATAGCATCTTCCCCCCCCCCTTCTCTCTGTCCTCCATGCTTGGAACACAAAACTTTCAGGCAGCCTGCAAGCATGCAAGTTCAAAGCCTCTTTTGACTCCAGCTTTTGGTACTTCCCAAAAGAACCGAACTAGGATGTCTTTGGCCCTCCAGAGGTTGAGCTGACCCTTCCAGCCCACACTGACCTAACGTGGTCCACAGCCTCAGCAGGACCACCCAGCCTCTCTGCATGGCCACCATTTTTCCTTTTCTCTTCTAACTTGAATCGTGTGGCTGTGTTTGCACCCAGATTGAGGTTAATAAAACAATAGGTCTGATCCCTTAACAGAGCACATTAAATAAAACAAAGCTTATTTGCATTCTGTTCATACAATGAGCTTAGACTATAAACAGAATCACAATTTTTCCAATCTCATTTTAGCTTAGTCTAGCATGTTGTGTTAGCAGAGCTCCTGTGTTTCATTCTGGGAGAATTGATGCTGGCTAAGTTACTTGGGATGTGATGGGGGGGGGGGAATGTCCCTTCCACCGTGAGGTCCCAGAGAAAAGCAGGCTATAAAACCCATCCATCCATCCATCCATCCATCCATCCATCCATCCATCCATCCATCAGCCTCTGGTCTCAGGGGAATCCACAGCATCGGATGCAGGCTAAGCAGTAGCTGGCTTTGACCCCAGGGAAGCCTTCAAATACCTCCCAATAGATTTGATCCTCGAAGCAGAGAGCATCTGGGGGTGTCCCAAGGCTTCGCATCTTCAGGACGGCCCCTAAAAAAAAGAGAGACCAGCCAGAAGGAGCAGGGGATCTGCAGCATGGGGGGGGGGCTTCTTATGGTGGCCTATCCTGGGAGTCCCACTTCAAAATGGGATTGGCCCACCCACTCATGCCAGCATACCAACCCTGTTAATCCAGGAACTTGGCTGGGGGGTCCAGAGGAAGAGCTTTTTCTGCGGTGGATTCTATCTTTTGGAACATCAAGCCATTCAAGGTGAGATCCGCCCCACCCTCTTAGCCTCCCAAAATTGCCTCAAAACCTGTTTCTGCCTACTCCACCTCACTGGGGTGACCCATGGCTAGTGGACTAAGGAGAAGATCCCACCTCCATGCCATCCATGTACCAGTTCCTACTTTACCCAATTTTTGTTAATGTTAAGGTTTTTATGGTTTTTATATTCTTGTTTTTATGATGTTGTAAGCTGCTCAGAGTTGCCTGATAGTAAGATGGGAGGCATATACATTTAATAAATAAATAAAAATGTCAGGACTGCTTCTCAAGCCCCTTGCAGTGGTGCAGGTCTGGGGCCCGCATCTGACTCCCTTCCGAGGTCGCAGGAGACTCCCAAGCTGAAAAATGTCCCTGTGGAAACCAGGATGAAGAGAGTGAAAAGAGCTGCAGGGGTGCTTGTCTGCCCTGCCCCCCACTCACCTACCAGGCTGCCACCGATCAGGGCCATGCCCAGGGAGACCAGCAGGCCCAGCAACTGGAAGAGAGACTGTCTGACGGAGGTGCGTTGCCCAGAGGCCACAAGGGGGAAGACGTCAGCCATTCTACGGAAGCAAGACGGCCCCGTGAGCCAGCACAGCCCTGGCAGACCACCACCGTGGCAAGGCTTCTTTTGGGAAGAGAGCCAGGCAGGGAGGCAGGGAGCTGTACCTCCCTAGTCCTAACCCTCTGCCTCACCCCCCAGTGCCACTCACCCTTCTCCGTAGTCATCTGGGGTTGCCAGAGCGGCCACTAGGGCACCAAGGAGGCCACCGAGCACGCCGGGCATCCCATGCAGGTTGTGTATCCCGCAGGTGTCCTGGATTTTCAGCCTGGCAGCCAGGATGGGCTGTGCAAGAGAGAGAAAGAGGACCCTGCGCTTTGGGGCAGGAAGCCTTTCAGCCATGCTGAGAACTGGGCCTCTCGGGAGGGGAGCCTCCTCCTTGCCTGGCTGGCACCCGGTCCCTGCCCATCTCCCCTTCTGCGCTCTGCTGCCGAATCGGCTCCTTTGGAAGAAGAGGCTTCTTCCGGAGACCCGAAGAGACTGCAGGCAAAGCCTGGCTCAGGCATTTGGGAAAGCCTACCGTGAGGAACTTGAAGCCGAGGGTGGCCACCAGGCCAGCCATGCACCCAGCGATCAGGGCCCCAAAAGGAGTCACCGCCATCTCGGCTGAAGTGCCAACGATCACCCCGCCAGCCAGGGCGGCATTCTGTATGTGAACCTAGGGGGGAGGGGAAATAGAAGTGACCCAGGAATTGGGGGCAGGAGCTAGAAGTGAATGAATTCCAATCTCATTTTGCATACCTTTAACTTAAAATTCAATTCCATTCAGTAAATGATAAAATACAGTATTAATAAAATAAAATGGGAAAGTAGGAGACAGGATTACTAGGTATGTTCACTGTCTGGAGTTTTTATACACACACACACACACACACACACACACACACACACGGAATAAAATAATGTTGATGTTCCCTGTAGTTAATATCCTGTAAACCACAGCAGAAAATATCGGTTAGTGTAATGGAAGAGATGTCCACCCCCCATCCTGCCCCCTTTGGCTTTTAAACCAGAGGAGCTGCTACAGAATCTGGCAAAGCCATGCGCACACATCCCTGGCTTCAATGATCTGCAATCTTGCCCCCCCAACATCTGGGGCCACAAACCAGACCCTCCCTCTGAGAACAGAGCTGCCTCAAGACGAGAGCATGGGCTTCCTCACCATGTCCAGCTGGCCTCCGCGGTTCACCAGAGCGGAGATGGCAAAGGTGGTGAGGGTGCTGGATGCCAAGGAGAAGTAGGTGTTCATCACTGTCCGCTGCTGGTCATCCCCGTGGGCGGTTACTGCTGAGTTGAAACTGGGCCAGAAGACCCACAGGAAGAGAGTGCCTGCCAGGGGCACAGGGAGATATGATTTCTGTGCCCCCAACCCTCGAAAGGGGCAAAGCAGCTCTTCCGCTTAAGGGTCCTCCAGTTTCCGAGAGGGGCTTACAGGTTAATAAATATGTGCACTCCCCGGGGAAGGGATGGTCTTGTGCAGTCATAATGTACTAGAAACCAATAAACTCTCCATAATTCAGAGTGGATAATTCATAGTCCAAGGTGATGTCTACCCTCAGACCGTTTACTGCAGACCTTATGCTTCCCTTGGATTTTTGTTGAACAATTGCTAAAAATTAGCAATTTAATGGAGTATTCAAAGAAATTGTAACCTGACCAAGTGAGGTTGAAGATAATTATAAGCAAACCTAGAAAGCTCCAGCTGGTTCTTCCAAAACCATAAAAGACCCGCTTAGCCCCCCTCGACATACTTGCTCTGCCCACTGGACCCTCTTCGGATCCAGCTGCTCTCCTAAAGGCACAAAGCCCAGCAACCCCTTGGGGAGCCTCACCAATCATAGCAAAGAGGTCCGAGTGGTAGGCGGAGCCTTCCCGCTGCCGGCTCTTGTCCAGGTGGGGTCGGAAAAGAACCCGGGACACCATCAGCCCGAAGTAGGCCCCAAAAGTATGGATGGTCATAGAGCCCCCGGCATCCTTTACCTGAGCCAGACAGGAGGAAGCAATACCTGCATGTGGCCAGCATATTTTTCAGCACCAACAACTTCTGAAGTCATTTAAAATCAACTGCCTCCTACAAGGCACCTCCCAGGAATGTAATCAATCTTTACTCCCACAATTCTTTATTTGGAGATGTGTTTATTTATTTATTTATTTCAATTATTTGTAGAGCTGTTCATCTCGCAGCAGTGGCTCCCAGCATAGCCATGTCCCCCTGATAAAAAGCACAACCTCAGAAACCAAAAGCCACATCCTCACAGAGTTCACTGAATCTCCTGGTCCAAATGCCTGGGCAAAAGAAAGGGTCCAGGCTAAGAGGGTCCAGTGAGATCTGATGATGGAGCATCTGTGTGATGTTTAAGGTGTGGATGAAGACTGGGGTCTGCCTGATGCCTGGAAGATGGCCGTCCTGGGCCCTATGCAGAGGGAAATGGGGCCAAGGTGAAGACACAATCTGCTAGAAGACACAGGTATTCCAAGAGACCTCCTGCAGCTCCCCCTTTCACTGAGAAATGGGTGATGTGAGTGGGTGGGGGAGAGGAAGCACATTCTTTGGGGCTGAAGAGTCAAGCAAAAACCTATCAGGAGCGTTGCACATTATGTAAATAACAGTGATGGGATCTGGCACTGAGTGGCAAGATGGAGCGTAAAGAAGATCATAAGCCTTGAATCAGTCCTGTGGTGCAGAACTGTCCTCCCTAATTCTTCACAGCCTCTATCAGAAAGTTACGCAGAGTGTGCTTTAGTCCAGCAAGATTCTGTCTATTTAGGCCAAAAAGCAATAAGAAACTGCTTTCAGCATTTCCATACGTCGTTGTTGGTTTCCCATGCCTGACAAATTACATAACCTTGTTTTGGGATCTAAATGGATGTGCGAACGCAGTTTCTGAGTAATTTTGTATTACAGTTCCTTGCTCTGGGCCCATCCCCTCCAGGGGAGCCCAGTAGCTCACCTGAAGGATGCTCAGCAAGATGTACTCATTGAGGCCGAAGAGGGTGACTCCCAGCCCAGCCATCAGCAGCAGCTGAACAGGGCTTGTCTTGCCCAGCAGCGCCCCAAAGGAGACGAGGACGGACCCGGCGCAGAAGTCTGCGTTGATCATGCTGGCAAGAAGATAGGGCAGGGGAGAAAGGGCTAGCAGGAGAGTTCCCTTCTCCCATTCATCCTGACTGTGTTTGAGTAAGGATTGCCAAAGAACCTGCACTTAAAATGCGTGAAAAAACACCACCAGGTACGGGGAGGTTGTGGGCTGAAGCGGGGAGAGAGTGGCTTCCCCAGCCTTCCCGCTCAAAGGGGGACCCAACGCTGCCCAGGCTGAGCAGGAGACGAAGGCAACGATAGAGCAGGGTGAAGCCACAGGTTGCCAGGGTGGGCTGTGCTGGACACGGCAGGCGAATCTGGAGCTACAGGTCTTCTGGCTTGACACAGGACCCCTCCCTAAATCCCTAATCCCAGATGAAGCCCCTCTCAAGGTCTGGTCGGGGGCAGCTCTGAGGTCAAGATGGCAGGCAATGGGCAGCACTTATCCGCCAGGAGGCCAAAAGAGCTTTGAATCCAACCCCTGAGCTATCATCTACTATCAGCGACAGGGACTCCCTTGTGTGAGCTGCTGACTGTCTTCACGCTACGCTTGCTTGATTTTGATCTTGGTTGCTAGTGCCACACCTTGATTGGAATTGGTGTCTGCAGTGATGGTCAAACAAATTCAGATGGGGAGCTTCATGGCACACTTGGGCTTTTTTTAACCACACGCTGCAGATTGGGCAGCCTGTGTCTGGACGAGGGAGTCTCTCAAGTCCACAAGAGGCTGAGGCTGAGTTTCAGGCAAGTGGCCCAGCTGCAGAGGGCCGTGCCAGCCCCCACTCAGCTCCCTCTTCCTGTCCGTCTGCTGCCCTGCTTAGGCTAAAACCCCCTCTTTTGCAGGCTCGAGGAGGCCAAACCTCGCTTGCTCACCTTTCTATTCCCACGTGGATTTTGCCATCGTGAAAGGTGTGGAAAAATCCCTGGATGAGGACAGACCACTGGAGGGCAAAGGCAGCGATCAGAAAATTGAAAGCCACTCCACCGAAGCTGTAGCGTTTCAGGAAGGTCATCAGGAAGCCAAAGCCAAGGAAAACCATGGCGTGGACGTCTTGAAAGCCTGTAGGAGGGGAAGGGGTCAGGTCAGCGGAAGAAAAGCTCCGGGGTCTCCACGCTGAGGGGCTGCCGGCACCGGCTGAGCCTGGTCTGACAGTCAAACTCCTGCCTGACTTCCTGCTTAGCTTTACCTCTCCAGCCGGGCTCCAGGGTTGCAATGGAGCCGGGCGGCAGCTGCATGCTGTAATTGGCTTCAGGCTGATAAGAGCGAGTGTGTGCATCAGCTGCAGGGCAGAGTCTGTAAACAGCTCGGCAGGTAAGGCTGTGCTGCAGCTGCTCTTGGCTGGCCCAGCGCAGACCCATCTCAGGGGCGCTGTAGCCAGCATGGGTGGTGGCTTGTGGGATTCGCCAGCTCCTCCTAAGTTTAACCCTAAACCAGGCTTATGTGAAATCAGATTTTATAATTCCTAATATAGTCATAATTGGCCTTTGCCAATTAAGGAACTAGCAATGGTGGAGGTCAAACTATTTGTGGTGTGAAAGAAATGAGGTTTTGTTCAGGTCAGGGTAGAGCAGGGTTTCTCAACCTTGGGAAGATGTGTGGACTTCAGTTCCCAGAATTCCCCAGGCAACATAGCTGGCTGGGGAACTGTGGAGCTGAAGTCCACAGATCTTTAAGTTCCCAAGGTTGAGAAACCTGGAGCGCCTCACCCCGTTGCATCTCTGCTGCTCAGGACTGGGCTGCCTTAACTATCCAGGGGAAGAGCTGGAGGGGAGATGCCAGCAACTGTGGGTCAAAGTGCTGATGGTTGCCAAAGGGACAACCAATGTGTCCTCAACGAGAAATGGCCATCCAATCTGGGGCCTTTTAGATGAAGAACAAAGCAATGGGAAGAAGAAAATGCAGAGGGAGAATTCTTTTTCTGTCTCCCAAACCAGCTGTCAAACAAAAGTTATGCTTAAACTCCAGGTAATCAGCCCATGGAACTTTCCCACACAAGATCTGCTGGCCTTTCTACAGAGGGGCCGGATAAACCTGTACAGGATGTCTTGCAGACACAGCCTGGGGAAGGGGCAGCCTCTCTCTGGCTCTTGCTACCCACCAGGAGAAGTAAAACTTCCAGTGGATGGACAGATGCTGGGGTTGGACCCAGCAGGGCTCTTTGGCATCCCGGCGCAGCCAGAGCCAGCAGGGACAGACCGGGAGGAGGAAAGAGTGGCGTGTCCTTCTGGGAGGGGCTGGGTAGGATCAGCCGGATCCCCAGATAGGAAGAACGGATCCCGCTGGACCCAAGGCCAGCACAGGCATACTGGGCTGGAACCACAAGCCGGGGCCCCTTTGGGCATCTGCTTACTTCCTCCCCAAAAGGCAAAGTTGGGTGTGTTGGGAGGGGCAGAAATCAGCTGCCTCTCTGGCAGCCATTTTGTGAGTGTGCTCATGACCTGATCAAATCATGGCTCCGTTGGTCTAACTTTGGGAAACTTGTTTGCTAATGCTGGTGATCCTAAGGCAGCTTTTCTGTCTCCAGCCTTTTCTTCCTTTTCTGCCTCAATGCCTGTTACAAAAATGATGTGACTGAATCAAGATTTAGTGGGTTTTTTAAGTGAGGTGCATAAACACATCCATAAACTGTGGTTTCTAAATGGAGGCAGTAGTCAGTCTTGGGTGCCTCCCCAAAGTTAAGCAAGTAATATGGATGGAGACCACCAGGAGGCCCCAGGTGTGACTGGGAAGTTGTGAAAGGCATCTGTAGGAAATCAAAGGCAAACAAGAAACCAGGACTTAACTCAAAAATACCACTCAAAAAGCATCTTGAGGCAATGGTAACTTCCACAATTCCCTGGGGGAGGATTGATCACAGATGCCACTTTGCACTGAGAGAGAAGGGATCCACAGACAATTTCCAAAGCTTTGATTTCCTCCCCCCCCCCAGAAACAAAACTGAGGCAAGAGCTCTAAGCTCTGGAGAGGAGATGGGGAGCCTTTGGGGGAGGGTCATGGCTCATCCTAGGCAGGAGGGGCACGGTGCCCCAGATTTCGGAAAGAGGGGCGTTTTCCTGGGCCCTCATTCCTCCTGTGCTCCCAGTGGTCTCTCTGGTTGGACCCGCCACAGGGCGCCCTGGCAGGAGGGCGTCTCCTGCACAGGAGATACTCACTTGGGTAGCGGGGATAGAAGTCATTGTCCAGAGGGTCTTTGCTATGCAGCTGCATCTCCTCGTGCCACAGCCGGGGGCTGGTGTGGCTGTCGTACTGGACGAAAAAGGCGAATAGGAGGACAGTTGCCAGCTGCAGGAGAGCGCAGAGCAGGGGCAGCTTCACTCTCAGGTTGGTGGGGTGGCTGGACATGGTGGGAGAGCCGTGCAGAGGAGAGCCAGCCGTGAGCGCACTGTGAGTGCCGGGAGAGGCTGCTCTGCTTTCCTGAGCACCTTGGGAGAAGGAGGAGGAGGAGGAGGCACCCTCCTCGGCTGTTTGCTCACTGCTTACCCTGGCCGGGAGCCACCTGCTCTGGGGCAGGGCCGGCTGGGGAAGTACGGGGCGGGCAGGGAGAGGGGGAGTCGCAGGCGCATCCCAGCCAGGTGAGGGAAAGCTGGCTTCGGCATCTTCTGCCTGCCAAAGGGCGAAGGAAGTAGGGTGGCCTTGGCATCCCAGGGCCGTGCAATTGGGGGACTCCCTCTTTGAACCCAGGGGGTCTTGAAGGAAGGGTGTTCCTGCAGATACAAAGAAGGACCTGGAGACACCTCCCCAATCTGGATTGTGCCAATTGCTCCCCATGGCATCGCTCTCCTGGTGCCCCGGGCGTTTTGTCAGGGAAGGGCAGGGCAGGAGGCTGCCAAGGGAGAAGGCTCAGAGACTTTCCCCCCAAACCAGCCCCAGTTTGTCCATGGAGAGAAAACAGCCACAAAGGCTTCCCTGCAAAAGAGGTTCTCCAGACCACCCAGAGGAAGTCCGTGGCTTTCGTGGTCGGAAACTGAGCGGCCACGGGAGACGGGGGGGGGGAGATCCCTGTGAAGTGGACGAGTTGCAACAGGGTGTTACAAATGGTGTGATGCTGTGACCAGCATGCAAGCGGGTCAGAGGGGCCTCATCCTGAGCCTGGATTGGAAGGAAGAGAAGGATGCTGGGCAAGGAGTCCTTCCTGTGCTGCCCCCTCCCAAATAGCCACCACGCATCTGTTTCTGACATTTGTGTGCCTCCCGGTTCCCATAAGGACCTCAGTTTTCACCCATGTTGCTGAGCAGGTCAGATTCTCTGGGTGGCCCTTGCGCACAGCAGAGGGCCCTGGGGACATTGCCCCCCTTGGCTCCCTCACCACTGAGCCCAGACTTTTCCCGTGCTCCCATAGCCAGGCAGATGCTGCCTTTTGCCCTAGATGGAAAGCAAAGGGCATCCAAGTGAAAGAAGCCGTTACCCAGTTAATCATTAAGCTTGCCGCTGGGGTCTGTTTATCTTTATTCCTCATCTGTGACATGTTGTTTCAAGGTTTTGCAATCTCTCCTTGTGGTGGGCTCTGCTCCTGGGACACTCTGCCCCCACCCCTGAGGGCCTTAGCAGATTCTCTCCCCCCCCTTTCTGAGTTCAAACCACTAGTCCCTAGCCTGGGCTTGGCAGGGCTAAGCCGTTTCCAATAGTTGCACTGCATGAAAAAGCCAAGGGAGGGGGAGAATGTTCTTCTCCGCAGGTATTCCACTCATGGGAAATGCCAGATAGCAATGGGATGGGGGGGGTGGGGGGATCTGGCAGAGGAGCCAAGGGATCCCCCTGCATTCCTAGAGTCCACACCAGGGTCCAGGACTACTCAGGCCACCTTCGCGGGGGTTGCCAAGGGCCCATTATTGATACATACTACATCCACGTTGGCTTAAACTTACTGCCCTTCCTTCAAATTAAGGGAAACTTTGCTCATCCTTTAAGCCTTTAAATGGTTGTTGAATGTTTGCATAACTGTCTCCTCACCAGAGAGGAAAAACTGAGGAGAACTCACCTCTAAAGTCCAGCAATCTGCTTTCCTCAATTGAGGAAAGACTGACAAAACGGGTCTAGCCCACTTTGCCCCCAGCCACCTGCCTCAGCCCATTCCTCCTCTGCTGGCCCTCCCCCAGCCCTTCTCCCTGGCCCTCTACCCCTGGCCCTTCGGCCCGACCCATTCGCCCAGACGCCATTTGTCCCAGGTCTTTCACTTGATGGGACAAGGAGCTGCTAGCCAATCGGGTGGCAGGTGGCAAGGATGGCTCTGGGAAGGGTGTGAGGGGAATGCGATTGGTGACAGGTTACGTGAGAGAGAAAGATCTGGGGGGGGGGGAATGCGGCAGGCAAATTATGATTGCATGCTGCTGTGAATGGTGGTGGCACTCAGTGGGGTGAGGGGGCAGCCAAACTGCCCATTTGGCATCAGGCCAGCAGGATCGAGTGCAGAGTGTGGGGGGTGGCAGTCGAACTGTGCAATCGGTTTTAGGCCACAGTCCAGGCGCAGAGACAACAGCACTGGGGAGATGTCTGTTGAAAGAAAAATCTTCATCAGGGTCCAGTCCAAGCCGGGAATAAACAAAATGGAGACTGCTTTAGAAAGAAGGTTGTAGTTTACTGAAGAGCAGAGCCAGACAGAGGGCTCTGGGAAAGCTGACCACATGTTGCTGGGAGTGGTGGGTTTTTATATCTCTTGGGCTTTTAATTTTGTTTCCTGTTCCTGTGGCGTGAACTTTGACATTAGGTTTGGGGTGCCTTTCTGGTATTCTGATGGTGGTGGGTTAATCCTAATATGTCCTAAAGGTCATATCTGCTTTTCTGTGGCTGTGGCTGATGGCTTACTTCCTGTGTTGGATTTCTTGGGTGAGGGGTGGTTGATTCTAGGGATTTTTGTCTTTCTAATCCCATCAATTCTAAGCTTCCTGGCTCCAATCTTTCTGAAAGGATTATCACATTTGCATTTCTACAGACCTGGTTTCTGTTTGGGTCAGAGAGACCTGGGGGGGGGGTGATTTCTGCCTAAGATTTTCCATTATTCCTTTGGGGAAATATAATATTCTGCCTTTTTAATATCCCCCAAAATATTTCTTTCCCTAGGGGGGCTGACTTCCCACAATAACTGCTTCTCATTAAGTGGACCCCATTGGCCAAACACTGCTTGAGAGTTTAGGAAGAGGACATCCAAGCAAGATGTTATGAAAAGAAACTTCTGCTCTCTGGACCAGCCTAATAAGCCTCTCTTGAAAAGAGACGAGATTCAAAGGAAATCCTTCCAGGGCCTTTGCAGGAAGTGGGCATGAGGGCAGGGTCTTCTTTCTGCTATCACCGCCTTTGCCGCCTGTGACATCTTGCCAAGAGTATGACTGTCTCAACAACCCAGGACAGCTTTGGGCTGTGGCCTGACTTGATCCCACAGTGGGGAAGGGCCAGACCCTCTCGGTGCTTCTTCCATGCTCCTAAGCTCCGAGGCTTTCACCAGGGCTTCTGACCTGGGCAAGGCCCGGCAGGAATGGAATGAGCAAAGAGCTGGCAAGTAGGTTGACAGGCGTGTCCTCTGAAAGTTCAGGGCAACAAGCCACCTTTTAGCCAGGTATTCCCCTGGGCAAACCTGGACCAAAGTGAGCAAGAAAGAGAGGCAGTTTCTCATCCGTCGTGTGGCAGTCGCTATGGAGAGCATGAGGCTGCCTTTTGCAGAACAGGAACCCATCAGATGCACAGCAGCAGATGATGGACTCTCATACAAGCAATGGTTTGTTTGTGCTGGAGAGAACAAAGTGTCCCAAGCCTTGGCGCATTGTCACATGCAGCCAGGACCACGCAACAAAGGCTCAATTCTCCTGACCACACACATGGCGAGTGGTGTCCTTCCTCCCTTGCCCCCTTTGCAAGGGACCCTAACCCAATGAACACACTTGATATTCCTTGTGGCTTTGACTCATCTGGAGCAGTGAAGGTAGCCGGTCTTTAGGCCCAGGAATTTTGCCACATTTCCTGCTGGAGCCCAGGCAGGGAGGATGTGCAGTCTGGTCAGGAGGGCCATTAGGAGCCTTGAGTTGGAGGGGCACCATTTTATCAGCCCTCTTTCTCCTGCTGGCTACTGTCAGCCCTTTGAGGGAGTTTGTACAAGGAACCAAATCATGAATTTTATCACTACCTTTATTGGATGGTTAAAATACACTGAATTTTCCAAGTCTGAAAGCTTCTCTCCTCCACTTGCCTTTACTTCCCAGGACCCGGGGGGGGGGGAGTTTTCTTCTGAGACCTCCCCACGCCCATTCGTCTGTGGACTAAGCTGACTGTTGCCTGGCTGCAGCTCCCCCTCATCCTACCTCCCAAGGATATTCCCACAAATGGTTGCATCTCCAGTTGCCCCTGTATTTCAGCTTGGGCTGCCTGGTTATGTGGATAAGCCAGATGTTTCCCAGGAGCATCTTTTTGGCCACTACTAGAAACCAGATTTTGGGTTAAGACAGGTTTTGGCTGGAGTCAGCTTAGATGATCCCCTACTGTTACCTGGCCAAGGGGGCAGAGGGGTGGACCAAGATGATCAGGAGGAGGGAGAAACATCCCCACCCCCAGAAGAGAAGCAACCTGTTGCTGACCTCCAGAGGCTCCGGAGGGCCACTGCCTTCCCATCAGGCCTCTTCCTTGGAATCACCTGGCTGAGCCTTTGAGCCTCTTCTGCTTCTCAGCGCCTCTTGACAACCACACAGAGGTAGAATAGAATAACAGAGCTAGAAGGGACCTTTTGTGTCATCTAGTCCAACCCTCCGCCCAAGCAGGAGACCACACACCATTTCTGACAGATGGCCGTCCAGTCTCTTCTTGAAAGCCTCCAGTGATGAAGCACCAACAACATCTGGAGGCAGCTTCTATTTCATTGGTTGATTGTTCTCACTGTATTTTCCATTCAGTGAAGTTTAAATGGAGTTTGGGTCTGTATTTACAACATTTGTGGAAGAATAGCATTAAAAAAATATAGGAAAAAAATGAGAAGATTGCTACGGAGCTATGCTTAAAATTCATGCAGAGATCCAAGTATATCATAGAAGCTTTCTTGAGATCTGAGTGAAAAAGGTTCTTGACTTTGCTTTCTCACTCACAGATTTTGCAGCTCCTGGCAACTGGCCACCGAAACAGGAGAAATGAGAAAAAGCCAGCAGTCCTGGCTGCACCAAGAGGGGTGTTGGGTCCACATTAGAGGAGGTGAACCTTCCACTGGACCCCAGGGATTCAAATCACCCTTGGGACCGTGCATCATTTTGAGCACCAGGCGTTAAGAGGGGCAGGGAGAAGCTCTCATGAAGAGAGCACAAAAATAATGGAAAGTGAGCCCCGGAAGGGGGCTCTGAGTGGGTGGGGGCAGACTTGGTTGGCAAAAGGGAGAGAGAGATGAGAGAGGAGAGCAGTCTGCAAACCTCTAAAGGGGTCCTGAATGGGAGAGCAGGAGAAAGCCCCAAAGGCTGATTTTTAAATTCCCACCCAAATGATGGACATGAGTTGGCCTGGAGAGGTGCCAGATTCTGCTACATGAGGTGCCTGAATGCTGAGGCTCAAGGAGCATAGCTTTTGTAGTTGGGAGCATAAAGTACCTGGAGCTGGTGCATTATGGGAACATCTCTGGGGCTTTCACCATCCCTGCAGTGGTCCTTGGTCTTGTAGATTCCCAACCTGGCACCAGAAGGGTGTTGATAGCTTGTCTGAATCACTCTTCCATAAAGGCAGGCTTGTTTGCTTGGCCAAACAATGGGGAGCTGTTTCTTCTCCTTTGTTCTCATGCATTCTTGGAGCAAAGCCGTGTGGTGCTGGGATGCAAGTGACAGAACGCAGAAAGAGATGCAAAGGGTGGCTCCCTACAGGATGAGCAAAAGCAGAAGGATGCACCTTCCCAGAAGAATGCTGATGTGAGAAGACCCTGCTTTTCTCAGACTCTGAGCCCCAATCGGTCCTGATGTGGCCAGTAGCCCTTCCTCAGAGGCGCCAGGAGATCTCTCTTCCTGCACAAGGATTTGGGCAGATCCCTGAGGCTGGATTCAGAAGAAGAAATGACCAGTTTCTGTTTTGGCTGGGGATTTGTAGATGAACCGCACCAGGTACAGCTCTTATTTATTTGTTTATTAAATTTATATGCTACCCATCTCACTATCCAAAATGATTCTGGTTGGCTTGCAAAAGGCATAAATGTAAAACATTAAAATTAACAGCATTAAATACAGACTAGAAATTGTAAGCTCATCCTCTCAGATCTCATCAAAAAGTTGCTCAGAAAATCATTTGTAAATTAGTTAGTAGAGCAAAGCAAAAGCATCCAGAATTTATTTGGTATGTTTTTGTTTCTAAAGGAAATTTGCAGAAGTGAAAGTGAGAACAAAGAGGGTCAACCTGAGAAGAGTTCAGCAAATATTGGGGTGGGGGGAGAGGTGAGTCCTTGCCTTGGGGCCTCTGGCTCCCATTTCATCCTCATCTTCCATCCCCTCCCCTGTGCATGAGCACCCCAAAAGCTCTGCTGGTCTTCTGTGGTGGAGGAAGGACGCTGACCAAACTAGAAGGAGGTGGCAGCATGAAATAAAAACTGCCTGGCAATCCCAGAGATTCAGAAACAGGGATGTCCATCATCTCCATCTTTAACTGGCATTCTGGCAAGAAACAGGCGGCTGGACAATGGCTGACCAAGCTTAATTCTTCTTGATTTTCTTTCTTCAAAGGCACAGAAGAAGCTCCACTTTTGGAGCAGGTCGTTCTTCTCTGTCAATGAGGAAACAATCTTTTGTTGATTGACAGAGTCCTCTTGGATCAAAGAGGTTATTTTAGGTACATTTCTCTCATAGGGCAGATAATATAAGCAACGCTGGACTTTAAGGTGTGCACTGACTGCAAGGTTCAGTTTGGATCCCACATTTGCAGATCATTTTGATCCTGTTCATGTTTATCCCCTTGTTTCTTCTGTTAGCCCAAACTCACACAAAGGATAAGGGAGCCCCACTAAGATTGTTCTCTGCATGGAGCAAAGCTGCTGCTCCAGTTTTCATTTCCCCCCAAGTCACCCCTCATTCAGGGCAAGGGCGAGGGGGCAAGAGCCACCCTTGAATTTTCTGGGTCTTGGGGTTTGGCTCTGCCAGCTCTGATGGAAGCATCCCTGTCAGGGTGCCCAGAAGGCGTCCACCGAGGGGAGCCCCATCTTTCCAGGGGGTTGTTCCTCATGCTGGTTTTTTATATGTGGGGAATGGGGGAAATGGGTCTGTTTTGCAGCCCCCCTTTGAGTCCCTGTCACTGGAAGTCCTCTCTTGCTTGGATGGTTCAGGAAGGCCATCCTTCTCCCAGTCAGTCTCGGGTGGCTGAGACAGTCCGGCTCTTTCCTGCTGGGTGTTGGTGAGGTGCTGCTGTGCACCCCTCCTTTTGCAGGCACGTCAGGCACCTGCTGCTGCTCAAGGCATGCCTCTGCTGCTGCTCCTGGCTTCCCTGTGTCTGTCTTCTGCTCCCGGAGTCCCTGCCATCTACCAGAGACCAAGTGAAACTCAGCCAGGTACGCCGTGAACGCCCCTCCTTGGCCAAGCTTCTCCCAGGGGTGCCTGCCTGCAGCACCCTTGCTGTTGTTCACACCCTCCTGGCTGCCCCTGAGATGGGCAAGACCCATCCCTGCTTGCAATGTTGCTGCAGTCCATCATTCCCTGAAACCCATTGTTCCTCTTTTCATTCCCAGCTTGTGCTGGTATAAGGACCATTTCCCCAGGATTGCCCAACGGTTTGTGGCAGTTGCAAAGATTCCTGCCTTGTTCGCTGTCAGGGCAAACTTAATTAGATGGATGAATTTGCAAGCAAAGAGAGCTTCCCCTCCTTGCTGTTGGGCTCAGCCTTGCAGCCTAATCAGAAACTGTTTCTTCCTTCCACAGCAACTCCTGCCCCCCTCCAGTACTTGCTGGAGCCCACAAATAAGGTAGTGCAGGCCCGGCGGGGAGCCTCAGTCACCCTGCCTTGCATCCTGTGGGTCGTGCCCCAAAACTACAAGATCCGATGGAGCAAGGTGGAGCCAACTGAGTACCTGGAAGTTGCCATCTTGATCAGCAACGGGGTCCATCACAAAACCTATGGCCCACTGGGCAGCCGGGCTCACCTGAAACGCAGCCACCGGTACGATGCATCGCTGACCATCTCCAACCTACCTTTGGACGATGAGGGCCGCTATCGCTGCCAGCTTGTCAATGGCCTGGAGGACGAAAGCGTCTCTCTTGTCTTGCAGTTAGAAGGTAGGAGGGGCTCCCAGGCGAGGCAGAGGGTTCCCTCCCCCCCATTGTGTCTCATTTATCTAGGTAAGCAGAGGGAAGGAGCCTCGTGCCTTTTGGTAGAGGTCACAATAGGAGGAGGGAAAGCATTGTGTCACGTTTCCCGTCCCTTGAGCAGGGCGACCGTCTGTGGAACAGCCTTTGTGGCTCCTCTGAAAGATGGGATCATTAAAAGGGGACCCTGCCTTCTGGGAGGTAAAAGGGTTTCCAGGCCAGGTAAAAGTTTCCTATCACTATGGGTGCAAACTGGACAAGCCGCAGACCCTTAACTGGGACGGCCCTTGCCTTTTACAGTGAGGATTGAGCGTGTCTTTGCGTGGGCTGCCCAGCCTCTGCCCATTGCCCCGCCACTTCTTGTCCTTTTGCTCCAGGTGTCGTTTTCCCCTACCAAACCAGCCGGGGGCGCTATCAGTTCAACTACTTTGAAGCCAAGAAGGCTTGCCAAGAACAAGATGCCCGGCTGGCCACCTACGAGCAGCTTTACCAAGGTAGCCGTTTGGGCTGTGGGCAGGAAATGGTGGGAGACTCAGGGGGTTCTTCTTTCATTCTACTTTTATTTCCACTCATTAAAAACTCACAGCAAAATCTATTTATGTGGGGGCTAAGAGTCGACACCAACTTGATGGCACATAATCAGTCAATCAATTACCCTGCCCCCCCAAAAGCCCTTCCAAGGCAAAACTCAAAGGTGTCATCTGGAAGATAATAAAGCAGTAAAAAATAACTGATCAAGTTTCCGAACAAAACATGTGTGCTTGTAATCATTTACCTTCCCATCAAAATTCATAGTTTCATACTTCAGTGAATTTTTACCATAGCAAATAAGTATTGTAAGGATCCTTGGAGATTATCTAGTTCAGCCTCCTGCCCAGTACAGAAAAATACCACTACAGCATCCCCAGTGTTGACCCGGAATTAGGAGACAGCATAGGAAGTATCAGTTGTGAATTTCTGCAGATGGGCCTGCTGACTTGGGCACTTGCAGAGTCATGGATGCAGGGTCCTGAAAGGACAGCAAGGAAAACACCCCATGTCCTAACCCACCGGGAACGTATGATGTCTTTAGGGAAACACCCAAAAGGGAACATTTTGAGCTACTTCTGCTTTCTTCCTTCTTAGCTACAGTGTGCCAGACTTACTGGGTGAAATCTTGATCTTATGTGTATCAGCTTTGTCGGGTGGATTGCTTATGTAATCAGAAGGAATAAATGCAAGGATTTCTTGTCATTCGGGGCTTCTCTCTTTTAGAGGAGCCCATCTTTGTTCAGCTGAATAAAAACATAAAGCTGGTTTCCTGTATTTTTTTTATCAAGCAAAACCTCAGAACCTGCACAGCGTTTTTGGCAAGCCAGGCTTCCAGGAGAGGTGCTTGGTTAGTCCTAGGGAGGCTCAGGAAAGGGGAAGGCACCAAGCGCGCTCTGGGATTTCCTGGAGGTGCCCCCCCTTCTTGACTCTTCACTGTGGTTTTTAACAGGAACCAGTTTTTTCTTCTTTTTGGTTGCCTTTTACTTGGTTCCTGCATACTCAGGAGGGCTGAAGGTAAGATACAAAGATACACATTGCTTTGTTGCACAGGCTTGCCTAGGGGAATGTGTGTGTGTGTGTGTGTGTGTGTGTGTGTGTTTGTGTAAAAGTGTGCTTGTTTCCTTGAATCATTTCCCACCATTGACCAGAGCAGGGCATCCAGCCTCTCAAACACCAAAGCAATGGAGAGTCCACCTCGGCCTGAGGCCCCGGTTGAGTAGGTCTTCCTATGAGGAAATGCCTCCTGATGTCCAGTCTCCTTCCATATAACTTCAACCCACGCAGTCTCAACCTGTCTTTGGATCACCCCTCTTGCCCTGTGCTGTTGAAGGCAGCTACGGGGTCTCTTGGGGGGCTTCTCTTCTCCATACCAAACACCGCCCAACTGGAGCCGGAGCTCCAGTCATCAAGATCACTCATGCAATGAATCTCTCCCCAGGCATTTCTGTTATTTTTGTTTTCATCCTCCTTTCTGTGGTCTGCAATTCTCAGAAATGAAGGGAGGCTCCGGGGTGCTTTGCATTGGTGGACTTTTGAGGACTCAGTCCAGCCTCCCTTCAGCTCCCTTCTCTTCTCTTCTCTTCTCTTCTCTTCTCTTCTCTTCTCTTCTCTTCTCTTCTCTTCTCTCTTCGGTACATCAACCCTGTGGCCTCTTGCTGACTGTGAGGTGGGGGGGGGGGGGGAAGGAAGGGATGGACCAGGGTGGACAGGATTGAGCAAAGGCCAAGTCAGCAGAACAGATGTACCTGGGGCAGAAGACAAAAAATGTTTATATGCTTCTTAACAAATTAACGTTGTGGGAGATCTTCTGATAAATTCCTTGTTTATTTCTCCAGAGAGCAGGGTGGGAGGTTGTGCTGGCAGATATTTCTCCAGAGAGCAGGGTGGCAGGGCTGTCAGATAAAATTGGGAGAGATTATATCATCCCTCCACAGCCTTTCAATTTCTTGTTAAACTTCCTGTCTCTAATGGCAAATAATAGTAAATCCACTGTGGCCACTGCCATCACCCTACAAATGTCTGAAAGGTCCCAGGGCAGAAGCCAAGGCCTCCCCCTCTCTCTGCTCCTCTCCTAGCCTGGACAGAAGGGCTGGACTGGTGCAATGCCGGCTGGGTCATGGAGGGGAGTGTGCACTACCCCATCCGCAACTCCCGCAAGCCCTGCGGGGGTCTTCTTCTTCGGCCCGGAGTCCGAACTTATGGCCCCAAGGACAAACTGAAAGATCGCTTTGATGCCTTCTGCTTCACGTCAAGTGTGCAAGGTAGGTGGAGACAGGCCAGGGGAGCCATCGGTAGGTCCCATTTCCGAGGCCCAGATTGGGTGCAGCTTCTTTTCCCACATTCTGGAAGGGATCCAGAAGAGTCCAGTTTCTCGGACCTCTCCCTGGAAGGATGGCTGTGGTATGGATGAGTCAAGCCTAATGTCAACTTCCAGACTTGCAACTGGTGCATGAAGCAGAGAGAGGCAGGCCCATCACTGCCCACACCACTTCATTCTGGACTGAAGCTTCCAGATGGTCTTCAAGGGAAGCCCTATGTAGAGCATGTTTCAGTAGTCAAACTGCAAGAGGACCAGGGTGTGAGTAATTGTCTGAAAGGCCGCCTGATCCAGGAAAGGCAAAACTGTTGTACCAGATGAAGGTGCGCAAAGGCTTTTGGCCAGGGCTGCCACTTGCTCTTTGAGCAATAGGAAGACCTCAGCTTGTGACCCCTTATGAATGGGGAAGGGCTGCCCTACCCGAGGTTAAGAATGGAGCCTTGCCCCAGATCATATTGCTAAAAATTATCCCACGCCAAATAAACACAAGCCCCTCCTCCTCGCCCCTTCCCCGCCCTCCTTGTCTTGCTGGATGGAAAGGTTGCATCTCATTGAACGTGCAAGGCTTGGCTTACTGCCCAGCAGGTGGATTTTGGAATGCAGGCCTTGTAGCTTCATCACCCAATTTTTTTTTAGTAGAAACGCACCCCAATAATGCTAATCTCACTCCATTCTGGTTTGGAATGGGCTGTGAAACTGTCTTCCCAACTCTTGCTGTCTTGTCACCCCCCCTTTTTTCCCTTCCCCCTCCCTCCCTCCCTCGCCCAGGTCGTGTCTATTTCATCAGGGGCCACTTCCACTTCAAAGAGGGCATGCAAGCCTGCCGCAATGATGGAGCTACCCGTGCCAAGGTTGGGCAGCTCTATGCGGCCTGGAGATTCTCCCAGCTGGATCGCTGCAACGGAGGATGGCTGGAGGACGGCAGCGTGCGCTTCCCCATCACTGCTCCCCGCCCGCACTGCGGGGGGCTCCCAGACCCTGGCGTCCGTAGCTTTGGCTTCCCCAGCAAGCTCCGGAAGAAATATGGCGTCTACTGCTTCTCTGTGAAGTAGGAGGGGCAAAAGCCCCAGGCAGAGGCAGCCATGGCTGAAAGCAACAACCCAGCCCAAGGAGGTCAACATCGGCCATCTTTCTCTGGTCAAAATTCATCTGGACCCCTTGACGGGGACTTTCCTCTATCCCTCCCTGGAATCAGAGACGGCGTCGATGGTCCAGCCTACGATGGCTTTGACCAAACATCCACCAGGCTGACTACAGAGTATGGGAATGGCTTTGTAAAGGCCTCTGTCCCCTCTGATATCCTGGGAAATTACTGCAGTATTTGAGGTCTTACTAGTAAAATTGTGCACCCCTTTGCTTTTGTTCCACACTGCAATCCCTTAATGTAAGAAATGCTGCCTGGACATTGCTAAGAAAAAAAATGACAGCCCAGTCAAAGATACAGAGCAATGTGTATACTTCAATGCCCTTAACAAACTAGGTTACCAGCTCAAATTTCTCCATTGAAATAGGGAATTTCTTGGTTTCACTGATATTATTTAATTTAAAAAGTTATAATAGAAATATTATAATGTGTTATTTTGTCTTCTGTATTACACTTTTTACGGACATTCTGTTTGCAAAGGTGATAAAGGATACAACTTGATGCAATAAACTGTCTGTGATGCAATAAGATAAACAATCATTAAAAATAACCAACAAGATTTAGCCAAGGGCACGATCCTGATAATTGGGCCAAAATCAGTGGTGGGATTCAGCCAACTTGCACCACTTCAGCAGAACCGGTAGCTATTTTTTTTGTTACCCAGGCCTAGAATGGGCTTCCGAAAATGGCATCCACATAGAGAACCAGTTGTTCACATATTTGAATCCAAAATATTCATAATCCAAAATATTTGAATCCAAAATATTCAGAAAACCAGACTTCAGTGGATTGCAGAAGGTGAAGAGGGAATCCCTCCAACTCAGTGGCCATGAATGAATCAGGTGGTGTTGAGCCAGTCACCAGCCCCCCGCTTTGTGGATCAGAGGCATCCCAGAGACAGAGTCCCCTCAGATGGCCAGCCAGAGAAGCAGGATGCTCTCCACCACTCATTCTACTGTGTGTGTGTGTGTGTGTGTGTGTGTTTGTGCAAAGCTCTTGAGCAGGGAGTTTGTGTGTGTGCAAATAGTTAGCTATAAGATGAGAAGGGCAGCCCCCAAGTGGGGTGGGGGAAAGGAGGACACCCTTTAAAAGTATGTTTAAAGAACCATTTAGTTATTAGATTATCTTTATATGTACACATATAATAATGTAAAAAAAATGAGTAAGAGCAGAAGGCACCACATTCTCCTCCCTCTGTACTAGATCACAAATCTTAAAAATCTCTTTTAGTTTGCCCTGTGATTTTGGGGTGGGGGGGGGAGAGGGCAAAGCACGAGAATTAGGAAGAGGAGGGCAAAGCAGCTCCTGACACACATGTCCCCCTTTCTCATGTTCTCAGTGGAAAGAGGCTTGCCCCTCCCTCCCTGCTGCCTGAGGGACCCCCTCCCCTGCCTTGCACTTCTAGAACCTCTCAGTTCCCATGGCAATGAGGGTCTGCACTCAGGAGCCCCTTCCCCCAAGGCCCGTCCTGCTCTGGCACTCAGCACTCCATGCCCCCCTTCTCCCAGAGACACCCCCAGCTGTCCAAAGTTCCCCAGGGCAGAGGCAACCAGCCTCTAGGACTCCCCAGGGCTGCAGGCAAATTGTGGCTGCTGCCACTGGCCGTTCTCCTGGCAGCGAATGAGCGGCTGGCGGTGCTGAGCGAAGCCTTCCGGGCACCAGTATCGGAGGACAGAATTGACTTCGTAATGCTGCTTTGGTTTGCCAAATATCTGCGCATTGGCCACTTTGGGAGGGGAGCTGCAAGAGACTGGGGAGAAAAGTCCACGGGTTAGTTGTCTCCCCTGCTCGACAGCTGGTCCAGGGAGGGGGGAATGGCCAGTATTTGGGTGCAGCCGGGGGAGGGGCTGGCATTGGATCATTGGTGCCAAATTGCCCTTAACAGGTGTCCAAAGAAGCCTCAGCTGGAGGGGATGACAAGGTCCAGGCAAGGTGTCTGAAGGACCCCCTCCACACAGCCCCAGGGCCTCTTGCCACACGCAGGAGACCCTGGATTTCTGTTCAGACATTGTCCGGCTTCCAGTGCCCAAAGAATCAGTCAGGGGCACTTCTGGGCTGACACTCATCCTAGTGTCTGGACCACAGCCTCTCTACCTCCCCCCCCCCGATGATCTTCCCTGCCAGGCAAGAAAGGTAAGTCACACCCAAAGCCTCTTCAGGTGGGTGGAAAACGATGAGCTTAGATGCCCAGCCTGAACTCTTTCCCCAGCCAGTTGCTTTGCCCTTAGCTTACTTTTTCCAAGGGTCCTAGAAAGGAAACCCGGAGGAGGTCTCGCTCTGGGGAACTCTCCTTGGATACTCACTCAGCCCCATTTTGCAGGTGAAGGGCAGATGGTAGCCACAGGGCACGTCGCTCCACTTCCCATCCTTTCGCCAGGACATGCCCACGCAGTTCTCCCCGTAGAGGAAATGGCTGTCAGGCTGCCCATCCTGCCAGCTCTCATACAGCTTCCAGAGCAGGCAGAGAAAGAGAGAGGTCAACCACTCCGTTCTGGGCTGCTTGTGCGGGCAAGGCTGGCGAAGGGCTGCCCAGGATGCTCAGCTCATGCAGGGACGGACAGATGGATGGATAGAGGGAGGGAGGGAGGGAGGGGAAGGGAGGGACGTTTCTTATTTCTAGCCTGGAAGGGCTGGGCTGCTCTGATCTGTGACATCACCCCCTGTAGGGGGAAGCCATTTTTCTTAAAATCTGCTGCTTTCTACCTTGAATCCTCTGATAGCTACAGCTGGCTCCAGTGGACAGGGCAGGCTGTACGAGTCTGCCTTTTTGCTTGGTCTGCTAGTAAATGTGAAGGATAAGCACACTTAGGATGGGACACAACAGACAGATTTCTCGGGGGGGCTGAGACCCCCCTCCAGTGCAGCCCATACAAGTGACCGCTAAGGCATCACAGGCACAGAGATGAAAAGCCCTTCCCCCTGTGCCTTGGGAGACCCCACCCGTGGGCTTTTTCTCCATCCTAATGGCCTCCCTTGCACGGATCAAGCAGACGCGCCCCGCCTTGGCTCCCAAGGTCTCTCCAGATGCTGGCAGAGGCTTCTTTACCAAGACTGCAGAGGTCAGTAAACGCCCCCCCCCTCCCCATCACCCCTTCTCCTTCAGCTCGGGGAGCTTTCCGAGCTCCACTTACCAGAGGACTCCCATCAGACCACTGGAAGTCCCCTTCGATCGTGCGGTCATTCAGGCCGATCCACTGGTATTCCTTGTACTGACCTGGAATCAAGGGATGGGAAAGCGCCCTTCAGACAAGGGAGGGGCGCAACAAGAGCACCCTGGCCACGAAAGCTTTCTTCCCTCCTGGCAGAGAGGCCAAGAGGCCGGGAAGGTGAGGAAGAAGAACGGGGACACGGCCAATGCCTCCAAGGGCTATTACTTCCACCCACAGGTGTGCTCAGGTGGCCACAAGAGGGAGAACTGGACAATCCCCACCAGCCCTGAAGCTCCAAACTGACCCCACTTCCAAGACCAAAACCCCTACTGTTGATGAAGCTCTGCTCCTCCGGAGACATGATGCTGGCCAAGTGACCCCCATGCTCCCTGCACTGGGTCTCGGAGTCCTCCCAGCTCCTCCGGGCAGAAAAGTGCTTGTAGCAGAATGCTTGGAAGGCGTCCCAGCCGGGCTGGCACTTCCTCAGGCCTGGAGAGAGAAACAGAAGCCGCGGCGAATCCTGCGGCCTCCGATTTGAGTGGAAGGACGTTTGTCTTGAAAGGAGGAGGAACGCTGGCTGGGGCGGCCATGAACTGGATGCCCCCTCCCGCCCTCTTGCGCAGCTTCCCCTGGGAGGGTGGCTGGCAGGGCCTTTTGGGCAAGAGGAAAAAGGGGTTCTTCCTTCTGGATGTCTCCCTTCCCCTCCAGTTCAACGAGAGGCGTCCCTTGAGGCCATCGGCTGCTTGCTCAACCCTGACAGAAGCCCTGTCTCTGTGCCCCCCCCCGGCAGACCCTTTGCCAGCTTCCCTGTGGGCCTGGCAAGGCGCTCTGTGCCCCATCTACTCACTGACGTCGCAGGCATCCCCTCCGTATCCCGGCAGGCAGAGGCACCCTGGGCGCCCACTTTCCTCCGTGCAGGTCCCTCCGTTCCTGCAGGGGTTTGGCATGCAGGCGTCTGAAAGCAGATGGGCATGGGAGTAGGGTCACCCCAGAAGGCCTCGAGAGAGGCCCCAATCCACCCCCTTCCCCTCGCCTAGCAGAGGAAGATCAAGTTCCGACACACTGGGCCTTGGGGGGGGGGTAGGAAGGGGATCAGGAAGTGATCACAAGGGGCAGAGAAACAGTCCAGATAGAATTAGTATAAGATGTCTGGATTCACACAACCGCACTTCTACACTCGGGCTAAGAAAACACCATGGGCTGTGAAACACATCTGGGTATCAGATAAGGCGAGTCCCATTTTTGTGCGATAGGTGTGTTCACACCACAGGCTTAGCCTGCTGGTTACTGAAGAGATCCATTTTCTGAACTTGAGCAATTGAGCAGAACCATGAATTAAGGTTTCCTGCAACACTTTAAGCCACAACATACCCAAGCCAGTTAACGCTGAGCCAGCTTCACCTAAGACAAAGACTAGGGGATGACCACTGTTCTAGTTTATCCTGGGCAAATGCGTGGTGTAAATGCAGTCACATTGTCTTGAGGGTTTTTGTTTTTGTTTTTGCAATGGATGAAACGGAACCCCAGTTTGCCAACCAATTGCAACTGATGTGGCCAAGAGGAGTGAAGAAGGTGGGAGGCAACCCCTGGGAGGGCGGCCTCTCCAGATGCCCCCAGTTGCTGGGGAGGGCCCAGTGCTCTCCAGTGTTGCTGAGTGGAGCCAGAAGCAGCCTCTCCCGTTTGGGGGGCTCCTTGCTTCCCGCTTGCTTGTGTGTGGGGGTCAGGGCATTCCATTTCTAACCACAGGCAATCAACCACAGCCACGCCTTCCCTTTGCAGACTTCCCCCCCCCTTCCTTCTCACCTTCTTTGCCCCCAGTCAGCAAGGATGGGCAGGAAGCTCAGCAAGAGGCTGGGGGGGGGGGGAATGCTGCAAAATGCTTCCTTCAGCCCAGGACCTGGGGCCGGAGGGCTGGTTTGGTCACCCCTTGAAAGGTGTGTGGCAGGTCAATAGCCCTGTTGGGCAGTGGTAGGTGGTCCAAGTGTCGGAAATGCCTGCAAAGTCCTCCCTCCCTTTCCTCTCTTGGAGGGTTTTGTTCCATTTTGCCCCCTCCCTTCCTCCCAGATACCTCCATTTCCCTAGAACAAGCACCGTGGGTGAGTTAAAAAGTTAAAAAGGAATGAAGGGCCTCACACCAAATTCCGGAGGTGGAGCTGGTCACACTCCAAGAAATGCAAAAGCTGGGGGGGGGGGCTCTGTCTCCCCCCCTTGGCTGCCCTGACCCTCCTTGTCTGGTTCTCCCCTGCACAGGCAGGCTGCCTTTGGGACGCCAAGGGCACCTGGCCCGGCAGCCGAGTCAGACCGGATGAAGTGCCCTAAAAGGCCTTGCATGCTTCGGCTGAGCCTGCCTTATAAGGCAACCCAAGGACATCCCCTCTGGCTCACCAGAAGAAAGGCATACAAAATGGAATGGGGATGAGAGTAATTAAAAAAAAACTAGACCTCCAGAAAAATGAATGCATTGAGAAATTTTGCCCTGCATACAAACTATTCCTCCAAGAAGCTAATTTTCTATAGGCAGGGGGATTCAGGATGGAGCTGCTTTCATTTGTGTCACTGCTGCACTTCTGCATTTAGATGCTTCCTGAGCCGGCTGCCAGCTCTGCTGCTGGTCCCACCACTGCAGCAGCTGCAGCAGCATAATTTCTCCTGTGGAAACTGCACTGTGTGGTTTTTCAGACTCCTATAGCTGGCAACTGAATAGCCCAATGCAATTGCTCCATCTTTCTCTCATCAGCCAATTTCTCTTGTGTTTAATTGACAACCATTTTAAGATTTCTTAGGGAGGGAGAGAGGGAGGGAGAGAGGGAGGGAGGGAGGGAGGGAGGGAGGAAAGAAGGAAGGAAGGAAGGAAGGAAGGAAGGAAGGAAGGAAGGAAGGAAGGAAGGAAGGAAGGAAGGAAGGAAGGAAAAAACAGGCATCCCAGAGCCTGATGGACAATACAGTATATTCTCGACAAGGAGCTCATCCTTTCTAATGTTGAGCTGGGGACACCCCTGAAAAGTGGTTTGGGGAGAGTGTTTGCCGTCCTGAGAGGCCCTGGCTAAGGGGAGAATTCCGTCTCTGCTCTGCCATCAAGCTGAACGGCTTCTTTGGCTACGGATGTGCCCCGTTTCCCATGGGAAGAGAGGCAAGATAAAAAGATACATGCCAGGTGACAGGGCACGAGCAGATGGCAGCGACCAGGGAGGGCTCCTCCTGCCTTGGGATGCAGCCCTTTGATTAAAAACACCTTCAGCCTCTAAATTTCTCTCCACATTTCATATCTTTTGGTCACAAAACAAACTATATTTAAAGATCCAAATTTGAAGAAGCTCACTTGAAAAGCACTTGCTCTTCTGGTCTCCCAGGGCTGCATCCCAAGGCAGGGAGCCTATTTCACCCTCTTGTGTAAGTGAAAAAAAGTCTGCCCAAGGAGCTGCCTTTCGATCAGTGTGCTTATTTCCCTAGCCACACAGCCATAGGACCCTTTTCCAGATCCCAGGGGACGCTGCAGGTCTCCCCTAACCTTCTTTTTCCTCCCCTCCCCAACTGCATTCTGAAACCTGGCCGTATTTCTTCCTCAGTTTGACAGAGAAGCTGGTTGGATCCTGGTGTTGAGCAGAGGGTGGACTTGATGACTTCAGTGACCCTTTTAGCTCTAACAGCAATTCTCTGAAGGGAAAGTTCATTAGTGGAGGAAAGATAAGAAGGCACAGGGGGGAAAGTAAAGAAAGACAGAGACAGGTACAAACATTCAGTTTTCTCTAGAAAGCTTTTAATTTCTTATTTCTCTTTCTCTTTGAAATTAATCTCCTTCCTGGTTCGTTTTTTCATGGAAACTGTGGTTAAAACACTTCATAGAAGTAGGAGAGACTTAAAGAGCACACACTCTCTAGGGTGGTTTGTGTCTGTGGGCATCATGTGTGCTTCTCTGGTTCCTTTGCCTTCCCCAGTCCTGGAAATGAGGGAGGAGGAGGAGGAGGAGGAGGAGGAGGGAGGGGACACAGGAAAGCACAGCCTGAAAGGAGATGCTGAGCCAGGGGTGGCTTAGTGTGGCAGGACAGCCAAAATGGTGGCCAAGGATGCCAAAGCCACAGAGCCAAAAGGATTACCTGACACGCTGCCAGATGCTCCAAGGCTGGCACTTTCAGTGGGCAGAACTGGCCGAGAGTGGGTGGTAGTCAAGGAGGCCTCCAGGAACGGGGTGCTGAAGAAGTCCAAGCCCAAAGGGCCTCCAGAGGGGACAGCCTCCTGGTGTCCCGGGTGCCCTTCTTCCTCTGCAGCCGGCATGATTGTCATCAGAGCCGGCTCCTGGTCCTTCTCCGATGCTTCTGCCCAGGGCTCCTCTTTGGAAGGGCTGGCTTCGGTCTCAGCCCGATCCTCCATCTCAGGCTCCTCTCCAGAGCCAGCAAAAGCCTTCGAGGCAGCCACAGCCTCATCTGGAGGACTGGAGATGGCGACCGAGGAGACCCTGGCTGGTGGTGGCCAGGAGGAACCCGAGTGGTCCCCACTCTCTTCAGACGGGCCGGTTGGCATCACGCTCAGGGACAGGAGCAGCACGGGAGCCCAGGGGGTCACCGGGAAGGCGACTGTCCCTGGAGGCTCAGATCCTGCCTCTCGGGGAGGACCGGGGGGGTGAGTGCCTGCCAGCCCAGACACGGGGGAGCTGCTTTCGACTTGCCTGGCAGAAGAAGTTCCTGCCTCGGCCTCTTTGGGGGGACTGGAGCCCTGGCTGGCACCGTGAGTCCTCTCTGAGGGAGCTGCAGAGAGACCTTCATGGACTTTGCCCACTGTCTCTCCCTCTGGGCTGTCAGAGGAGCTGGCTGCGGTCTCTGGGGAGGGCTCTACAGGGCTGCCGACACCGTGGGGCTCCTTCTCATCCCTGGGCTGGCTCCCCACTGCCTCTCCGTCCTCAGCCTCCCCTTCCTGGGGAGATGCCTCCAAAACCTCTGGCTCTCCTTCCTCCCTCTGTTGGCTTTGGTCCACGACGTGGGCCTTCTGGGTGCTGGGCACCTCTTCTGTGCCGGGGTCTGCTGGCTCTCGCCCTGAAAAGCCCAAGGAAGTGGGTGAGAGAGGGAGGACGTCCAAGGAGGAGCCCCAGACGCCCCCTCGGCATCCACAAAGCAAATGGAGGCTCCAGCAGCGGAACTTTGTTTTTTGCAACACGCTGCTTCGGGGGGGGGGGGCGTTGCCTCCGCCCTCCATTTTGGTAAAGGTGGGGCATCATCAAACATTCCTGCCTCTTGTCACTTTGTGTCAAATTCTAATCAATTTGCAATTAATTGATCCGACATCAATCATCAGATATTAATCAGCAATTCCTATCAATCTGCTCTCAAGTATCCAGGTGAAATTATCAGGGGTATCTGGTGGGCAAGGAAGTTCTCGATCAGGCCCACAGCCAAAGGAACATTCACAGGACCATAAGCCTCTTTTCACACACAGACCCCTCCCCCAATGCACTCCATACCCCATCAGGCACTGGGAAGCCCACCTCTCGCAAGCAAGGCCTTGGCGGCTGCTGGCCCCTCAACTACCCCCACTGCCCCAGCCCCAGCTCCTCCCACTGGCTGACAGGTAGAGGGGTTGCCTGTCCAGACCATCAGGAAGGTGGCCACAGAAACACAGAGCCCTTGGTCAAGCAAGCCACCTACTCCCTCTGTGCTGCTACTGTTGAGTATAGCCAGACAATTAGGGTCTAGGACAGTTGGCTACAGCTGCCTCACCCCAGTCATCTCACGCCACCCCTCCTCACCACAGCCACCCCACCATAGCTGCCCCTCTCCAGTGGCCCTTCCCCAGCCTCCTCGCCCTGAGCAATTTGCCCCAGGCAACTGGCCCATTCGCCTCAATGGACAATTTCATCCGCTTCCTGCTCCTCTCTTTCCCTGGGGGGGGGAGCAACTGGGGGGAGGTGGCTGTGGCCAATTGTCCCATTCCAGACACTTAAGCTCTCCATCTCTCTCTCTCCTGGCTAGAGAAGATGACACCCCTCTGCTCAGGGTCTACAATGCAGATTATGGGACATTCCCACATCCAGCAGGGCTTCTCACTGCTGTGGATTGTTTTGATTTTGGGGAAAACTGAAAGCGCTACATCCAAGAAAGAAAACAAAGGCAAAGGAGACGAACCTAAAATCCACAAAAATTGTTTGCCCCCCCACCCCCACTGAACAGAGGGATTGGAGAAAAATAGATCTCAGTGCTGTAAGCTGTTTGTGTAGCGTGTCCATGGATCTTAGCTCTCAGTTGCTGGTACAATCTCATTGCTTTCAATGTGTAGAAGACACTTACTCTCTTGCACTCCCTTTCTCCAATCTCTCTTCTCCACAAGGGAGGAAAGAAAGAAAAATACATAGGTCAGGCACAGTTCAACATACTGTACAACATACTGATCATGTGGCTGAGGGATGTGGCAAAGATCATAAATGGTTGTAAATTGGTATAAAGTTATTTTTTCAGCACCATTGCAACTTTGAATGGTCACTGAATAAATGTTGGTGAGGATTAACTGTATAGAAATCAGCCACTGGAGGAACTAAAGTTCCAAGCAGCAAAAAAAAAAGTGAAGTCTGCAAAAGGGCAAACAAGGGCAGGGCCCTTGTGGTGTTTCAAAGGATTTTTGAAGAACTGGGAGATAAACTTATAGCAAATTTAGCAGCAATAATTTCTGCACCTATAAATGCATGTTTTTGAAAACATTATAAAAAGAAAAAGTGAAAAATATGATAGACAGCAATATGGAAGAGTTTGTGGATAGACAAGATGAAGAGGGGATACAAACTGTAGCTGCTGGAGAAATATCAGAAAATAAAGAAACTGAGGATTACAAAATAGCAAAGACAATCAGAGAAGAAACACAAATGGCAACTCAAGAGATAAAAAAAGACCCGGGCTGGGACTTCTTTTCAGGATTACAACAGAATGTTTCTAAAACCCCAAAGAAATCTTTGGGATGGGAGAAAGCAAATGTGAATCCTACTACAGCAACTTCATGAATCAAAGATAAACATGGTTGGAAGCAAAAGAAAGGAATATAAAGTTGACTTGTTTGATCTAAGCTAAAGTAAGAAAAAAACTATAAAGTTTTGGAAACCCTTTATAGACTTTTTGCTGACATTCGAACAGAAATGATGATTTTTAGATTTGTGAATGGTCAAGAGGGGAGGATTATGGGAAAAAATGAATCATGCATGTAATTCCACTGGGGGTGAGAGGGACTTATTAATTTGCCAGTACTTGTTGCAAAGAATATTGGGAGTTGCTTCTTTAAATATTCTTTTTTCGCTCTCTCTCCTTTCATTTCCTGATTTCAGTTTGTGTTATCTTTCAGTAATGTAAAACTCATACTGAAGTATTTTTTTAAAAAAAGATTCCTGTGCTGGTCAGAGTATATAGCCATCTTAGGAATTAAGAACTGTCCCCTTAAGGGATAGCCTTCTGGGTAATGTAGTTTAAGTTACCTGGTCATATCTGTGTTCGGACTGGCCACTGGGAGGGACTTCTGATTAGTTACCGGATTTCCTGGCTACATGCTAGTCAGCGAGGTCTTTATGAATTCCAGCCACGAGAAGTGTTTGCTCCATAGCATGGAAGAAACTATCTCTTTTTACCGACATGTTGGGTACAGATTATGCAATGAATGTCAGATGTATCTTCAGTAACTGTGAGTTAATGTTTAAAGAATGCCCGATGAATTAAAGTAATCTGCATGAAACCTTTCCGTGGAGTTAATCTGCCTGCGTCAAGCAATATTCAGCAGCAGCCTCCCTGCTTGATACAGAACAATGCCCCTTCTCTCCTGCCACCTACCAGGCCCGTGTTGCCTGGCACAGCTGCCAACTCTTTCCTCCCCCTCTTCTCCTCCGCTCCGCCTGTCGCAACCGCCTGGGCCAGACTCCTCGGGGGGCTCTGTGGTAGCTGCCTCCTCAAAGGCTTTGCTTGGCTCTTCTGGCACCTCAAGGGGATCCTGGAAGAGGGGCACAGAATAAATGGCCCCCCTGGACTCCTTGGCCCCCTCGGGCTCTCCCTCGGCCAGCTGCAGCTCCTCCATCTTCTGGGTCACCGTGGTGATCTCCTTGCTGCTCTCTGCCTCAGGGATGGGAGATTCCAGGGAAGGGCTGGTCTCCTCTGCAGCAGAAAGAGAGCGGGGGTTACTGCCCGGGCCGTCTTCTGGGACCCTGAAAGGCAGCTGGGCAGCTGGGCCAGGCAGGGGCCCGGCAGCAGTGGCTGCTTGCTTGGGAACCTCCTCCTTGGGGGAAAAACGAGGGCAGGGATGGCCTTGTGAGGAGAAGACAAAAGCTCTGGGTCTGGGCTCCAGTGACCTTTTGGAGGAGAAGGAGCAAGGAGGAGATTGGCCTGTGGCTGTTCATGGGAGGAGATGCCGTAGGGCAATAGTGGGAGCCAGAGGTCGGCCTCTGGACAGGCATCGTGCCCTTTTGTGCTCTGATAATGAAGGAGCAGGGAGAACCCCCCCCCAAATACCCCTCTGGATGTTAAAGAGAAGAAAGAGCTGGGCTACCAAGGAATTTCCAGAGGCAGCTGGTCTCCAGATGTCACTTGTAGGAAGCAGTGGCTGGCCTGGCCATCAGAGGGAACCAGAGCTACCCACTGCTGGGTAGGTCCCTTCTGCCAGATGTGCCCTTGGTGAAGACGACCATGCAAGTGGAACGCACAGCCGGCTTCCTGAGCCACCCCATCCTGTCCAGCTGAGGGCATCTGAGACCTTCCAGCGGACGACACAGAGAGGCTCCTGCTGGCTCTGGAAGCCCTTTGCTAATAAAGTGAGTTCAACGTCAGCCAATCATGTCCCAGCTGGGAAGAGGGTAAACAAGCCCCTTCCTTGCCTTCAGGGCCTTCAGCTCCATGCACTGAGGTTTTCTTGGCAACTCAGATACTTGGCCTGTAGTGTGTATTTGTTTAAAGAAAGATCCTGGGCAAAGGACTGAGGACACTGCAAGAAACAACTGCTCACAGGAACCAAGCCCCCTCCCAAGGAGAGGCAGACCACCTGAACTTTCAAGTTCCCAGTTTTTCCTGGCCAGGAGACAAACGACGGGGAAAGCTACCGCTTGCCATGCAGGAGCTGGCCAAAAATGCAATGTGGACCCTGAATCCCAGTCCCACAAGGAAGATCCCTGCTTACCTTTGAAGCAGAACACGTCGTACTTGCTCTGGGGATCTGGGAATCCCGTCTGATTGCGAAAGAGGAAGATGGTTTTGACTCCTGGCAGATTCCCTCCACACTTCTCGCGGGGTGTCACAATTGGGTAGCGCACGCTGCCGTCTGCCAGCCAGCCTGGGTTGCAGTGGTCCAGCCCTTGGTTCCAGGCTGCATAGAGCTGGCCGGTCGTGGCCATCTCCACCCCCTGAGCTTCACACTCGGCTTTGGCCTCCTCCCAGGTGAATTTCCTCAGGGAGCTCACCAGAAACAGGTCCCCTGCAGGCAGAAATGCTCACAATGCTTTAAAAGGAAAAGCATCAGCATGTTTTATTTATTGAAATACCGACCACACAGAAGTTCTTTGGAATCACTTTGGCTTAAAAAATGGAAAAATGGAATTTACTGGTGGGAGGCAGCAGGGGGTTTCCTGTAATGGTTCTATTCTACAATCAAACTGATTTCAAAAGAAAATATTTTTAAAAGTATAGTCCACAGCCCTGGGATTTTCTGTGGCCCCTCATCTGAGATCAGCTAATCAGATTGACTCCAAGAGTTTTTAAAGAAATGAAAGCAAAATGAGCGTGTTCCCCCATAGGCTTAACCATGAAGATAAAAACAATAAAACAAGATATCGCATCGAATAGAGAGGGCGTGGCCAGAAGCCCCACTTGATTATTGGAGTGAATCTCATGCCAGGCTCTTCTCACCCCTGGCAGAAGACAGCCCACCAGCCCTGGTCCCAGAAGAAGACTGAATGGGATGGGGGCCATGTGGGGCAAAAGGCTTTTGGCCACAGAACTGACCATAAAGTTCTTCAGCGTAGCAGTAGACGTCATACATGTCATCTGGATTGACTACGCCATAATTGCGGATTCCCGGAAAGCCATTCATGTCTCCATAGCAGGCTTCGCGAGGGGTATGGATGGGATACCTAGAGGTGATCATAGTCTGGTTACATGTTAAAGCAAGTCAGGACTGGCTGCCTGCAATGAGGATGGAACCCAAAAATGTGAAATGGGAATAAATAGGAGCTCAGCCAAACACCCTGTGAGAGAAAATGAAAGTGGAAAGATTCTAACCCCACCCAGCACAGGTCTCTCCAGCCTGGAACTTGGCTCTGGTGGGTTTCTCTTCCTGGTTCCCCTGAGCCAATTCCTGCCTTGGGAAGAGAAACCATGTGGCCAGAGGCTTCCTGGTGCTCTGCTGGGACCAGGCAGGATGTCAGCAGAGGCCACTGGTGGGCATGAGGACCTGCGTCCCCCCATCTTCAATGTGCCCAGTATGTACGAACTGCGCAATTTTCCCCCTTAAGCTCTGAGTGTCTGTCTGAAAAAAAATTTGGATTGAGGAAAAATCCATAAAATACATTTTTTATTGTGCAAATAATTTCAATTCACTAAACCAGAAACTTTACTTGTTTATTTTGCTGGTCTATGTTAAGAGGCAAACATATCTTTGTATCAGCAAAATCTAAAATATTTATTTTGGAGAAGTAGTTCCAGGTCAATATGTATATTTGGGTTCTGCTTCTTTTTCGCCACACACACATTGAAATTGGCTTCTAGGTAAAGAATAAAGAGGTATTTCCTAGGCATGGATACTGAACGGAGTTATAACTAAGAAGCCGACTAGACTTTGATAATGCTTGCGGACCAGAAAGTTAAGAACCAAAACCAAAACTTTAAGATGACTAAGAAAAAATGAAATAAAAACACAGACACATAAACTTCAAAAGCACAAAAGTTTTAAGCGTCCATGTTGAATATTTCTGTGCAGACAAGGCACTTCTTAGGGAAAGCGTTGCAGCCTATCCCAGGAAATGCGGTTTACTGCAGGATTTTCCAGACGTTTTTGCGTTAAAATCAATCTGACACCAATACCGGCGGCTCAGTTAAAGGTGCCTTTTACTTTCCCAACAAACCTGGTAACCAGCAAGAGGAACAGGGTCCTTCCGCACCGGTCCAGGGGCGTCCGGGCCTTACAGCAGGGCCTGATCCCCCGGGAGCGACGGCCACCCGAGCCCCGCCCCGGCCGCCGCACCCCCTTACCTGACCGTCTGGTCCGCCAGCCAGCCGGCGTCGCACTGCTCGTAGCCGCCGCGGTAGGCGGCGTGGAGCTGCTCGGGGGTGGCGATGGCCGCCCCGATCCGGGCGCAGGCCGCCTGGGCCTGGGGAAAGGTGTAGGCGTAGCGGGAAGAGCCTCCCCGGTAATGGAAGACGACCCCTGCAAGGCGAGAGGAGAGACCTGGGTGCCTGGTCAGGCAGGAGGCTGCAGAGCTCGGCCCCCGCTGGCTACGGCTGCTTCTGCCCGGTGGCGCCAGGGCCCCTTAAATGCTCCGGCGATCCTTGTCACCCCGCCCTCCTCTCGCCGGCCCCGGCTTCTGCCTGGCCCCTCCCGGGGCCTTCCTAACTGTGGCCCGGCCGCCAAAGCCCAGCCTGGCGGGGAAGGCGAACGGAACACCTTTCTCTCGGAGGGGGCTGAGGCCAGCAACCTGCAAGCATTGCAACTCCAAGGCTAACTTCCCTGAGGGCCCCGCGCTCGGCTGGCCAGGTAGCGTCACTGCAAGGCTCCCTGACTCCTTTCTTCCCCCAGCTGAAAGGATGGGGCTGTACAAGATGCCCCGTGGGACCCTTGCTCTCTCTCTCTCTCTCTCTCTCTCTCTCTCTCCCTCCCTCCCTCCCTCCCTCCTGGGAGGGGGTTCCTGGCTCAACAAGGCTGGGTTCTCTGGAGGTGGTCTTCCTAGGATCTTAATTTTATTACAGCTTCTGCTACCCTCTAGGTTTGGTTTGGTTTGGTTTATCAACTAATGTTGAAGGTTTTCTTGACCGTGTTGGCTTGTATAGGGAAAGCTGTTGGGATCTTCCTTGAGATAATAGATTTTTCTATCCTAAAACAATTTTAAAAAATACTCTTCATGAGAATTTTGCTTACTTCATGGAAGGAAAGAAAGGAACATAGAATAACAGAGTTGAAGGGACTTTGGGGTCTTCTAGTCCAGGGCTTTTCAACTGGTGGTACGCGTACCACTTGTGGTACATTAATGAGTGGCAGGTGGTACGCAGCCCTGCCTAGCCAAGTGCAGTGGGGGAGGGAAAGAGCCAGCACAGGCAAGGACTTACAGTGAGAGAGTGCTCTGGAGCTGCAAAGGCCCCGCTCACTTCTGGCTCACCCTCCCCCATGAGAAAGGAGGAGGGGGCGGAGACAGGAGAGGCTATAAAAGGAGGCAGTTTGGGCAGGAGAGGGAGAGAGAAAAAAAGCAGCAGCCTTGGGAGGAGGCAGAGTCAGCTGCACCAAAGGGGGAAGGGTGGGGGGAGAGGAGATCAAGCAGGCTGGCCATGAGCCGATCTACAACTGCTGTGTGGCAGCCACCTGTGCTGGCAGCAGCAAACAGGCAAGAAATGTAGCAGGGGAGGGGTCACCCTCCAAGAGGAATTTAAAAAGGCAGCAATGGCTGGAGGTGAGGCATGGAAGAGGGAAGGAGATGGAGAGTGGAAGGATTCTTGTGTGCTTTTGTGACTTTGAAGTTCTGGGATTTGTGCAATGAGGGCTTTGTGTTCTTAAGGAGTATTTGGCAATTTCTATTTGGCTGATGTCTCGTGTTAGCTTCTATTGCTCTGCTGTTGTTAGCTGTAAGTTTTGCTGCAAGGGATTTTGAAGTATTTTTCTCCTGAATGGATTTTGCTTGTAGCATTCCTTTACTTATGAATGGAGTCATTTGGGGAGATTGCCTTAGCCGGCAGCCAGTACTTACATTTTTCTTTCTTCCTTAAGTGCCGGCTGCACTCCTTACTTTCCTTTCTAGCCAGTAGCTAATTTTTAAAGGGGAATGTGCCTTTTAAAGCTAGTTCACTCAGCAGCTTGTCTTTTCTGTCTCTGGAGGCCTTTCCTTGTTTGATCAATATATGGAAGAGGGAAAATATGGGGGAGTTCAAATTCTTCCTTCAGAAGGAGATGGGAATGAGAAAAAGGGAGGCAGGGAAGGGAGGGAGGAAAGGAAGTCCCACCTTAGCACTTGGCCACCAGCAGCTCTGCCACTGACTTTGCTTGTCAAAAGGTTGCAGAAGGGAATCACATGACCCTGGAACACTGTGACCATTATAAATATGAATCAGTTGCCAAGCATCCAAATATAAATCACATGACCTTGGGCATGCTGCAATGGTCATAAGTGTGAAAAATGGTCATAAGTCATTTCAGTGCAATTGCAACTTTGAACAGGTTTTTTTTTTTTTTGGTCATCAAGTTTTTGACACCTTGCTAGGTGGTACTCAAATATTACCATATCCTAAGAGTGGTACAATCAGTAAAAAGGTTGAGAAGCCCTGTTCTAGTCCAACCCCCTGCTCGAGCAGGAGACCCTCCTCTACCATTCTGGACATAAGACTGTCCAATCTCTTCTTGAAAACCTGCAGTGTCTGGAGGCAAACTATTCCACTGGTTGATTGCTCTCACCATTAGGAAACTTTTCCTTAGTTCTAGGTTGCTCCTCTCTGGGTTAGTTTCCAACCATTCTTTCTTGTCTTGCCTTTTGGTGCTTTGGAAAATAGTTTGAACCCCTCTCATTTTTGTAGGAGCCCCTCAAATATTAGAAAACTGCTGTCATGTCACCCCATCATGTCCTTAGAGGTACTCAATTCCTGTATGAAAATGAACAACACATTTTCATACGTTTTAGCCTCCAGACCCCTAATCATCTGTGTTGCTGTCCTCTTCAAGGAAATGTTTGCTGACACTAGTCCACCACTCAGTATGTGGGGATCATAAATTGAATAAAACAGAAATAAACTGTGTAGATACATAGTATATACAGTAGATACATAGTATATACAGTAGATGTTTGAGAAAAACTGATTTGGATCATAGCAAAGAAGCAGCCAAAAGACAGATTTTAAGAGCTTCAAGGAGAGCTGCATGAAAGAATTTAAGCCACAAATGTGAAGCTACTGCTGAGAAATCCCTTAAATGATTTAACTGTGGCATATTGCAGATTATGGATTATGTTACACTTAAAACAAACCAATTCCTAACTTAATTGCCTGTAAAAGTTCACCCAGCATTTTGAGCTCTCATCAGAAATAAAGCCAGGCGTGCAATCCAGCCTCAGGGACAGGCCTGGGTGGGCTGGGGCTGAGCCTGTGGGAACCTCTTACCCTTCACCTTCACCTCCAGGAAATCCTGCCCGTCCTCAATCCCGTGTTGAGCGTCACAGCGATACAGTCCAGAATCATTGGAGCGCAGCTCGCTCAGCACCAGGGTGGCATCCATGGGCGAGTCAGGATAGAAGGGCAGAAAGACTCGGTTACGGTAGATTTCGCTGACTTTGACCTTCAGGCCCCGGGCCACCAGGATCTCGGTCTCTTTGCCATCAACAAGGAAGGTCCATTTTACTCGGAGGGTGCCCCGAACCCCTTGGCGGCCGGCCGTTTTGGCAGTGGGCAGTGGCTGCAGGTAGGTGATGTGGCAGGGGATGGTGAGGCTGCCGGACAGGACGGCTCGCACTGGCGGAAACTTGGCAATTGAGACCCGCAGAACTTTGAGCTCATCTGGGGGGGAGAAAAGGAGGGACCAGCTGTGAGAGCCTGGGGGGGGGGTACCTGCAGAACTGGCAGGGACTGAATGGGTCTTTCGGGAGGGCAGTTCTTTCCCCGTTGCGGCTGCTCTTCCATCCTTCTTTTCTTTTCTTGGCCTAGACTGAGGCGATGACTGACAGTCCTGGCTGCATCCTGTCCCTGGATGGCCTCCCCCCTCCACCAGTTTTGGGAGAGAGAGAATGTTACATTTTAAACATTCCATCTATTTTCACTGGCATAATCTGGAAGAGCTGCAGAGAGGTGAAAAGAGGCCCAGGGGCCACATGGAAGTCATGGCGGCCATTGCCCACCTCCCCCTTTTATCAGAAGTGCAAAAGGTTGAACCCTCTTAGTTGGTCTGCTACACCTGCCTTCTGTGAGCCCCCCACCTCTAGGGACAGAGAGGAGCGTTTGGCCCACCCTGCCCAGCCACTGCTTCTGCCCCACCATGCATCAGGGCTGCGTTACCTGTGCTTTCCCTGCCAAGGTGGAGGGAGGCCCCCAGAGACGCCAGTTGGGCCAAGGCAGCGCAGAGCAAGAGGTCTCGGCAGTGGGCCATCTTGGTCCTGCTGGGGGGGGGAGGCAGGAAATTGGGGTTAGAGGGAGGGAGGGAAAGCGTAAGCAATGGTCTTCTCCCAAGTTCACTAGAAGAAAGAAAGAAAAAGGGAACATCCACATAACTGGACTATTTATCTGAATGTCAAAGATGCCAAAATGCTGTAATGGTGGTTGTTTGGCAGTCAGACAAGGACCTGGGTCTTTTCTGCACCCAATTATTACTCATAAAGACCTGGATGACATCCCCTCCCCGAAATAGCAAAGTAATCAGCTGGGAACTGACCTCTAACTTGGGAAAACTCTTCCCATCTCCCACCCCGGACCTCCAGGAAAGAATGTTTTCAAAGTGGATCCATTCCGGCCACGTCTCGGCCCAAAGCCTCCAGCTTGCGGGACTGAGTTTAAAGACAAGTGTTTGTGCATGCGAAAGAGAGAAGACACAGTGCAACAGCATTCTCCCTCTCTCTCTCTCTCTCACACACACACACAGGACCTTTAATTAAGCAACACACACACATACACACACACACACACACACACACACACAACCTTTAATTAAGCAGCGCAAGGCGTAACATTTGCCACCACGAAGGAGACGGGAGGAGAAGCGCGTTAAGAAGCTTGTGGAAAGCACAATATGGAAAAGGTGCGAGAGCGCCACCTGCTGGCCTTTAATGGAGAAGAAAAAAGTAGAAATCCCAGCGGGAAGAATTCAGACGGAACAGGCTTTGAGGAAGAAAACGTTGTAAATGTCATCGCGATAGTAAGTATAGCAGAGGTTTTCAAACTTGGCTCTATAATGACTTGTGGACTTCAATTCCCAGAATTCTTGGAGTTGAAGTCCACAAGTCATAAAAGGGCCAAGTTTGAAGACCCCTGAGCAGTGGTTCTCCACCTGTGGGTCGGGACCCCATTTGGGGTCGAACGACCATTTCACGGGGGTCGCCAAACAACGCAGTCCGCCATTTTTTCCCCCTTTTCCTTAGCTGTGCTACTCCCTTTTATTCTATTGCCTTTTGAAAGCCAATAGAATAGACTCTCTTGAATAGAGTCTAATTCAGTGGTTCTCAACCTTTTTAATGCCGCGACCCCCAACTGGTCGTAAGTCGAGGACTACTCAACCGGTCGTAAGTCGAGGACTACTCAACTGGTGCAGCACCGTTTGCAGAATGGGACTTTTGGTGGGCTCAGCAGGGCAGAGACAGCCTGGACAATTCCTATTGGCTTTTGAAAGCCAATAGAATTAGACTCTATTCAAGAGAGTCTATTCTATTGGCTTTCAAAAGCCAATAGAATAAAAGGGAGTAGCACAGCTAAGGAAAAGGGGGAAAAATGGCGGACTGCGTTGTTTGGCGACCCCCATGAAATGGTCGTTCGACCCCAAATGGGGTCCCGACCCACAGGTGGAGAACCATGGTCTAATTCTATTGGCTTTCAAAAGCCAATAGAATTTGTCCAGGCTGTCTCTGCCCTGGGAGCCCGCCAAAAGTCCCATTCTGCAAACAGTGCTGCACCAGTTGAGTAGTCCTCGACTTACGACCGGTTGAGTAGTCCTCGACTTACAACCGGTTGGGGGTTGCGGCATTAAAAAGGTTGAGAACCATTGGGCTAGAGGAAGCTTGTTGGGCTCTTCCAGGGAGGAAAAAGACTCGCTTAGTGTCGCCTGTGTTATGTCCCGAGCCTTTGCAAACGGCTCGGGCGTTTGCAGGCAGTCCCGGGCAGGTGCAAAGCTGCCCGGGACCAGACAGGCTGTCGCCAGCGCCGTGCGCATGCGCGGGTGCTGGCGCGGGAAAAGTAACCCATTTACCCGGGAGTTGCCTATATAAGAGGATGCGAGGCGTTTGGGCGAGGCTGAAGCCATCTTCCTGTAAGCTGAACGCTGAATAAATGAAACTGAGAACTCCAGCTGCTTCTCGTGTCTGTTTTCCCGCCACGGACTCAACACTGGCGACGAAGGGGGGATGCCTTGCACTACCTGGAAAGGAAGAAGTGTAAGCTTACCCAAGGAGTCCTGAGCGGCGAAAGAGGAACGGCGTCGACTCGGCCGCTACCCGCCAATCCGGTGCGCATTCGGGGGTAGGCTGGCTGATAGACCCGTCTCCTGAAGATCCGAAGATGGCGAAAATCGGAAGGCTTTCGGAATTAGACGTCTCACATCCAGAGCGGTGGGAGTCCTACGTATCCAGAATGGAGAACTACTTCAAGGCAAACCAAGTGAGGGAAGATAGCTTGAAGGCCGCCACCATGCTTTGCGTTTGCGGCCAAGACGCCTTCGAAATCGCAGAAAACCTTGCAGCACCTGTTCCAGTAGAGTCTGTAAGCTACGCAGACCTGAAGAAGCTGATGAAAGAGCACTTCCACCCCAAGGTGTCCGTTATCTCATGGCGCCACACCTTCGAGCAGAGGGATCACCGGTCCGGTGAAACAGCCAAGGAATACATCGCCGCGCTACGGAAGGCCGCCAAGCCCTGCGAGTTCAAGGACCTCGAGGAACGACTGAGGGACCGATTCGTGTGCGGGTTAAGGCATCGCGAGCTACAACAGAGACTTTTCGCAAAGGAAGAATTATCCTTCCAAGACGCCTGAAGGGAAGTCACCGCAGAAGAAGCAGCAGGCGGCGCCGTCAAAAACCTGCGGCCGATCAGAAACAGTGCAGAGGGTGCGTCCGTGCACCAGGAAGACGTCCGACGAAACTCCGAGGAGGATCCGGACGAGGAAGTCGACCGTCTACACCCCGTGAAGGAAGAGAACCAGAAGGGAAGCTCTTCGGCTCCGCTCAAGTGCATCGGCTGTGGAGGTCGCCACAGAAGAACCGACTGCACGTTCCGCTCCGCTACCTGCCGGGCATGCGGCAAACAAGGGCACATTGCAGCTGTGTGTCTGAGCCGACGAAAGGCACAACCCCAAGAAGAACGCCTGAAAGGTACCAGATTCCCCAGCCAGAATAGGGTAGGGTTTTGCGCTTCGCGAAGAGGCATCTGTAGAACAGGCACACACAAGCCCATGAAGAAAAAGCTGTCACTCAACGTGAAGCTACAAGGGGTTCCATTATCTATGGAACTAGACACAGGGTCTGCCCTGTCCATCATTTCATTGCATACATTTAGGAAGATTTGTTCCAGAAGTGGGTCTAAGGACAAGTTAAGGCCTTCTGATATTGTATTAACAGATTTTCAGAACTCAAGAGTGTGTGTTAAGGGGGAGGCCACCCTTAACGTGCAATACAAGAGTTGTGAAGGTCCACTAGACTTATTAGTAGTAGGGGGTGAACGAACGAGTCTCATAGGACTCGATTGGTTTGAGGCCCTGGGGATACACGTCACAGGACTCAACAGCTTACAAACACTCGACCTACAGGAAGTCTGCAAAGAATTTGCAGATGTTTTCAGCCCCCAGCTGGGCACATTCAAAGGACCACTGTGTCCTTAAAGCTAGACCCCACTGTCACTCCCATTAGATTAAAGAAGAAGGGTACTTTTGCTTAAAAAGTAAGAGTGACACTGAACTAGGACAAAAACTATCCAACAGGGAATCCTAGAACAGTTGATTCCAGCCCGTGGGAGACCCCCATTGTCAAGACTCTAAAGGCAAAGGGGACATTCGCATTTGTGCTGATTTACAAATGCCACATCAATAAGGCATTGCAGCAACATGCCTATCCTGATTCCTGTGGTGATTAACATCCTGGCCTACTCTCAAGGGGGGGCGTGTTTTTGCAAAGCTTGACCTAGCTCAAGCATATCCACAGCTGCCTGTTGATGATGAGGCTGCCATAGCTCAGACCATTGTGACCCACAGGGGAGCCTTTAAAGTAAAAAGGCTACAGTTTGGAGTAAATGTCGCTCCTGGGATTTTCCAAAGCGTAATGGAAAACACACTACGAGGTATACCAGGGGTCTGCCCCTACTTTGACGATGTCTTGATTGCAGGAGACTCCACACACATTCTAGCTGAAAGACTTAGGGCTGTACTGTTAAGATTCAGGGAATCAGGCCTCAAGCTCAGAAAAGACAAATGCAAGATCGGGGTGCCTTCTACTGAATTTCTGGGATTCAAAATTGATGCTGCTGGGATTCATCCTGCTGAATCCAAACTAACTGCTATTTTACAAGCACCCAGGCCAAAGTCTAAGGACGAACTTCAGGCCTTCCTAGGCCTCCTGAATTTCTACAATTCTTTTCTTCCACATAAAGCTAGTGTAGCTGAGCCTCTTCACAGGCTACTAGACAAACAAGCTGTGTGGCTGTGGTCACAAGCACATGAGGCTTGCTTTAAAGAAGTCAAGGCCTTGCTCAATTCTAACAGTGTTCTTGCACATTTCAACGAGTCTCTTCCTGTGTGCATCGCTTGTGATGCATCCCCCTACGGGGTTGGAGCTGTCCTGAGTCACCTCATGTCTGATGGAACTCAGTTTCCTATTGCATACTACTCCAGAACACTGTCTTCTGCCGAGCGCAACTACGCTCAGATAGACAGGGAGGCTCTGGCTGTTGTTGCTGGAATTAAAAAAATTCCACGATTTTCTATATGGCAGGCATTTCACGGTCTTCACTGACCATAAGCCTCTGCTGGGACTGTTTATCACACGTAAGCAGACTCCCCACATCATTTCCCCTAGAATGCTTAGGTGGTCTATTTTCTTGTCTGCATATGATTTTTCATTACTCCACAAGCCTGGGAAAGAAAAGGGCCATGCTGATGGCCTCAGTAGATTGCCTCTGCCAGTAGTAGAAGCTGACCCCGCGCCAGCTGTCAACATTCTATCAATCCAAGCCTTGCCCGAGCTCCCTCTTAGTGCCAGGGATGTTACCGCTGAAACAGGTACAGATCAAACACTTTCACGTGTCCGCTCCTGGGTCCTGTCCGGGTGGCCTGAGCACTGCCCTAGTCCTGAGTTTCAGAGTTTCTGGTCCAAAAGGAACGAACTGTCCCTTTCTCAGGGTTGTCTGCTTTGGGGAAAC